TCATTGTTTGGTCTGAAATCACCTCCCCCCTCAAATGCAGTTCAGCTCTTATTTTGTTCAAAGATATCAAATGTTCACTTATGGAAACCCCTGGTTTTATCCTAGATGAAAAGAAGTCTTTAGATATTCTTGTGGTGGTAGCTACACTGTCACTGTGAAACAAATTAAACATGCATTGAATAATTTCTGAAACAGTCAAATTTGGCTTAATGCTGTGATACATTGCAGGAGACACACTAGATATTATTAAGAAAAAAGCTCTATGGTGTAAACAATCTATTTTTAGTGTCCAAGGTCTTTTTGGGGGACTAGTGATAAAAAACAGTAAGTTTTCCTTCATAAAGACAACCTGGAGCTGTTGATACCATTCTTGTAAATTAATGCCATCAACCCTTAGTTTTGGGAAGTCACTGGGTAAATTTCCGACATTATTGGGTCCATTACTTACAACCTGAGGTAGTCCGTGGTCTCGTAAATGCAGAAAATTGCAAAACGGCGTGGGGATGCTCGCTACGAGTCTGCATGATCTTCTCTCCAGTTCATGTCTTCCCGGATCGTCAGCGTAGTTTCGCGCATGCGCATTGCTCATTTCTTCTTCGGCGTCGTCGTGGAAGGTTCTCCTCATTGCGGCTTGCTCGCTCTGCTCTTCTTCAGATGAGTCGGTCTCTGGTTCGACTTTGGGGGTTCTGACGACGGTGGCTGTTCTTCCTCTTCTATTGAGAGCGTTGGTGCTTGCTTCGGTCTGCGGCGTAGGGCGGTATCGGCAGGGCTCTCTGGGTTCTGGCGTCAGCGCTCTAGTAGTCAGGATGGGAGCGGGCAGGTCTTGAGGCATTGGCTTGCTCGCTCGCTTTTTCGGCATCTTTTTAGTAATTTTCAGTTTTGGCCCAAATGCAGCAAAGAGCGTTTTCATCGCTGATTTTATTTGGTGTTTTGTTGGATCTTCCTCACTTTCTGGTTCTGATTCTTCAGAGGTGTTTGAATCTTCTTTTTCGTTTTCGTTGTCTGATAACATTTTTCGCGCCAGAAATTTTGAATTGAGCTTGCTGATTGGTTCTGCTTCGTTCATCTTGGAGGCCGGTTGAAACCAAGATGGCCGCCATTCAAATTTTCGCGCGGGATCATCGTTTTTCTTCTTTGTAATGATTTTCTCCGCAGTCATATCACTCACTATTTTTGGATCTTTAGGTTTTTCATTGGTGATGTTTTTCTCTCTCGCTGCTCCGCTGTTCTTCAGCATATCTTGGAGGTTCGCGATGAGGCTTTCATCATTCTTCTGGCTTTTTAATAGTTTTAATATCTCTGACCTGAGTTCGTTATTTTCTATTTCGATTTCCTCCTGGTCATCAATTATTTCTTCGTCTTCAGTGGTGTATTCTTCGGATTCTCTCGAAATTGCATTCGTGGATTCGTTGATTATTTCTTGTTCCGTTTCCATTTCTTTGCTGTAGGCCCTGGTGTTGGGCCTATCTTTCTTAGACATTTTAAAGTTTTTTATTGAGTCAATTAACCATCCTCTGCTACCAAAATTGTTGCAATATTTTCAGGATCAGACTCAATAAGATTAGCAAGAGTTAAAGATTTAACTATATATTCTTTTATTTACATTAGGCATTCTATATTCACTGAATATTCACAGATAGAAGCAAGGAAAAGGGTGTAGGTAGCTCCTTATATATACAATGGGTGGAGCTATATGTGGGAGTGGTGAATTATGAATACATTAAGAAGTGAAGAATAAGTTAACCCCTGATACCCTGTTTGTACACTATTTACACATTAGAGAATAAGGCATTTACATCTGACAAATATAATATATTAATATAATATAAGCTATAACTAAGTTAGAAAAATGTGGGATAGACAGCATCTGGGATAAGAGCCAAGGTGGCGCAGTGGTTAGAGTGCAGTACCGCAGGCTACTTCAGCTGACTGCTAGCTGCAGTTCAGCAGTTCAAATCTCACCAGGCTGAAGGTTGACTCAGCCTTCCTTCCTTCCGAGGTGGGTAAAATGAGGACACAGATTGTTGGGGGCAATAGGCTGACTCTGTAAACCGTTTAGAGAGGGCTGTAAAAGCACTATGAAGTGGTATATAAGTCTATGTGCTATTGCTATTGCTATCACCACCAGGTGGATTCATAACTGGCCGACAAACTCAATATGTAGTCCTTAATGAAACTTCTTCTACATAGAGGGAAGGAAGCAGTGAGGTACCTCAAGGTTCTGTCTTAGGCCCAGTATTCTTCAATATCTTCATAAACAATTTAGATGAGGGAATAGAAGGGAAACTCATCAAATTTGCAGACAACACCAAACTGATAGGAATGGTCAATACCCCAGAAGATAGGCTCAAGATCCAGAGAGATCTTGACAGACTTGAACACAAGGCACTATTTAACAAAATGAAATTAAATGGTGAGAAAAGTAAGGTTTTACACTTAGGCAAGAAAAACCAAATGTACAGGTATAGAAGAGGTGTCACCTGGCTCAATAGCAGTAACTGTGAGAGGGATCTTGGAGTCCTAGTGGACAGTCACTTAAATATGAGCCAGCAGTGTGCGGCAGCTACCAAAAAAGCCAATGCACTCCTAGGCTGCATTAACAGAGGGATAGAATTGACATCATTTGAAGTTTTAATCGTGCTCTATAAGGCCTTAGTAAGACCACATTTGGTATAGTGTATCCAGTTTTTGTTGCCACAATATAAAAACAGTGTTGAAACTCTGGAAAGAATGCAAAGAAAATCCACAAAGATGATTAAGGGGCTGGAGGCCATAATATATGAAGAACAGTTGCAGGAATTGGGTATGTCTAGTCTAGTGAAATGAAAGACTACTTGATAGCAGTGTTCCTCAATATTTGAGTAGCTGCTACAAAAAAGAGGGGGTCAATCAATTTTCCAAAGTGCCTGATGGCAGGACAAGAAGGAATGGATGGAAACTAATCAAGGAAAAAGCAATCTAAAACTAAGGAGAAATTTCTTGATAGTGAGAGCAATTTATTTTTTATTTATTTTTATTTCCAATTTATATACTGCCCTTCTCCCTGAGGACTCAGGGCGGTGTATAGCCAGAATTAAAAAACATAAAATACAAATATTAAAAAACAATTAAAATATATATAAATTTGGCCCAAAATTAAAAATACAAACCAATTAAAACATTTAAAAATTTCTTCTTAAGCCAGCCCGGTTTGCCACAATTAACCAGTGGAACAACTTGCCTTCAGAAGCTGAGGGTGCTTCATCATTGAAGGTTTTTAAGAAGAGACTGGGCAGCCATTTGTCTGAAATGGTATAGGGTCTACTGTTTGAGCAGATAATTGTACTAGAAGATCTCCAAGGTCCTTTCCAACTTTGTTATTCTGTTATTCTCAACTTTTCAGTACCATTGTAATTTTGAAAGATCGCTACATGAATCTACATGTAAGTCAAAGACTACCTATAAATAGATGTGGAGACAGGGTAAAAAATATGGTGATGGATCACAATCCATTGCAAACAGTCTGCAGATATTGCCTTATCAGGTAAAATCATGGATTCAAGTCAGTTCTTGAGTCATGTCAGAACAGTAGATCAATCTGAAATAATCTGAGAGGATATCATTCTGCTTCCAGATCACCACAGAACACCCTGATGAAGGAGTTTAGACTGCTCCATTCTTCATACAAGTTGGCCTCCAGCCACTTGATCATCTTTGTTGTTTTTCTCTATACTCATTCCAGAGGAGACTCTGTATTTGGATAGGGTTTACTTTACTGAATGATGACTTAACATTTGCATGATAGATATTACAGATTTTACAGCCCATATTCCTAGAATTGTAGAGTTGAAGAGTTGAAGATCATTTACTCCAGGAGCTTCAGGGTAGAATTTGCAGTATAGGATCTGCCTTTACAACCCAAATAGGTTGTCTAGTCTTGATATCAATACCACTTCAATGAAGAAGGGCCCACTACTGTAATGCTCTCTACATGGGGCTCCCCTTGAGGAGTACCCGGAGGCTCCAACTGGTCCAGAATGCGGCTGCGCGGGTGGTTATGGGAGCGACATGGCGCTCTCATGTAACTCCTCTCCTGCGCGAGCTGCACTGGCTCCTGGTGGTCTTCTGGGTGTGCTTCAAGATATTGGTTACCACCTTTAGAGCGCTCCATGGCTTAGGACCTGGGTACTTACGAGATCGCCTTCTGCTACCGGTAGCCTCTCACCGGCCAGTACACTCCCACAGAGAGGGGCTCCTCAGGGTGCCATCAGTCAAACAGTGTTGACTGGCGGCCCCCAGGGGGGGAGCCTTCTCTGTGGGGGCACCTGCCCTTTGTAACGAGCTCCCCCGGAGATACGGAGGATCCCGGATTTACGCACTTTCTGCTGTGCCCTCAAGACTTTTTTATTCCAACAAGCTGGCCTGGCCTAACTCTTTTTAATTGCTTAAATTTAATTTGCTTTTAAAAAAGGAGTGTTTTAATTAGTATGGGCCAAATTTGTTTAATATGTTTTAAATTGTTTTTTAAATTTTATATTGTATGTGTTTTATCTTTGGCTGTTCACCACCCTGAGTCCTTCAGGAGAAGGGCGATATATAAATCCAAATAAACCAAACCAAACCAAACCAAACTATTTCCCAGGTATGCCCCTTCTACAGTTTGTTAGGAACCTTTCCCAAGATTTAACTGAAATCATTGTATTTTTCACTATTTCATTTGGGTCTTTCTGTCTGGAGTAACATAGAGCAGATGTACTTCATTTCTGTGTGAAAATTCCTCACATATTTTAAGAAAGTGATTACATCTTCCTATAATTTTCTTTTATATAGACAATTTGTTTGACATTTCTAATCAGGATTGAAGTCTTATGTGCTACTATATTTTGGATTCCAGCCACATAATTCAAGTGACTTCTAAGAATTGACCTGTATTTTTATATGAATATATGAGTATTACTTGTCTAATTTTATTCCTTAGATATATTATTTAAATTAATATATCTTCATTTTCTCCTCCATAGGGATTTCATTGCAAACATCAATTTTCTAGTAAGTATTATATTTTCATTCTTATTATATTTTATTCATTCTTAAGACCAGGAAAGCAAAACTTTTGAATGATCAATCAGCCTGAAAGCTCATTATATTTAAAAAAAAAATTCTTCCTACTTGAAGACCTTCCTATTTGTCCTCAAATGTCTTGGGTCATGTCAGGATGTAAGCTTTTCTGTGAATGACCTAAATAGTATGTTTGTTTTTAACAAGAATTATTTAAAAAATGAGGCTTTGCTTCTCAGAATACAAAATGTAATATCATTCCTTGTACACAAATATTTTGATCGTATCACCCATTGTCCCACAAAGAAAATATCAGTACCTACACAAGTACTGCAAATGAATAATCATGGGCATACTCATTTGTCATAGATCAATGGTGGTTTTTCTACACCAACTTTTCTGGATGTAAATTATTGTATAAATAGCTATGGAAATCTTTAAACAGTTTTTGAATGGGTGAAAGTTGCACACTAGCAATGTAGATTAGTTACTGAACTGTACATCCTGACATTGCATTAGCAGTCAAGCTATCAGATGTTATTGTATGTTCCATTTGCCTGTAACTTTTGTTATAGGCCGAATATTCAATTAGCAATCTATAATGATTTGGCCCGCCCTTCTCGCGAAGAGTGTGATGTGATATGCTTTCGATTGTTTGCATGTGTGTGTCTTCCATGGCTCTCATCACTTAAAATCATGTAACATTTTTTATTTATTATTACTTATTTATTCATTTTATCTACCTTTATTATTTTTATAAATAATTCAGGGTGACAAATATACGTAATACTCCCTCCTGCTATTTTCCCCACAACAACAACTTGTGAAGTAGATTGGCTGCGAGAGAGGGACTGGTTCAAAATTACACAGCTGACTTTCATGCCCAAGGCAGGACTAGAACTCACAGTCTCCCAGTTTCTAGCCTGGTGCCTTAACTACTAGACCAAAGTAATCTATTTACTGGTCTACCCACAGTAGATTTGGTATTCTGTCTGGTATATTCAAGAAGGTGGATATAATTTTCTTCATCTGTTGTGGCCTGTGGTGTACTATTATTCAAGCATTTATTTATTTATTTATTTATTTATTTATTTATTTATTTATTTATTCATTCATTCATTCATTCATTCATTCATTCATTCATTCATTCATTCAACTTATATGCCATCCATCCATCTCTGCTGGAGATGACTCTAGGCGGCTTACAATAATTAAAAGCCACTAAAAGCATTAAAACATCAGAACAATAAAGGTATGGGGAATCAAGTGAATAAAGATACCTACATAAAAGGATTATAGAAATGATCAAATCTTGTAAAAGATTGTTCACAACCTGGGCTCTCTAGATTTTTAGTAGAGTAAGTTGTTGTATTTCAGCTTTTACTGTACCCTTCACTCTTATTTTCAGAAGTTTCTTTTTTATCTCTCTGCTCGTGGCCAAGTGAACGTGCATTCCTACAGTCCTTGAGTCAGCAGAAAAGTATTCTGGCACAAGCGTCTTTATCTCAATTTCTAAGTCATTTTCTGTCTCCGTGATGAGGCCACCCAGTGGTATCATCTACACATATTTGATATTAAGGAAAGGGATTGGCAGATTCCCTGGTTTCATTTTCTCTTTAATGGGCATTGCATGCTGATGAGAAAAATATCCAGCCATCACTCTTTCTACTATGAGTTGTGACTGGGGCTGGGATTGGGAGGACAGAAAGATTTTATCAGAAGGTTAAACTTAAGAGTACTGACCTATGAAATGGAAGGGGGTCCCACTAATTTATTGGGCAGCCCCCTTCTCTGACAAAATGATCCTCAGGGCGGCTGATGTTGCCCAATGCCTGTCACCTGAAAATTGGTTGAGAGGAATTAGTGGAGAAGCAAGCAAGGTGGAATCAGGTGGGGGCTCTATTGATCACCAAACCATCTCCTAGTGCAGTGGTGGTGAACTTATGACACACATGTCAAAGGTGATATTTTGGGTGACACACCACTGCTCCCCAACTCCTGACAAATATTCTTGAAAGCACGTTCTATTTTTCAGAGACTTTGGAAGCTGCAGAGGCTGCACGAGAATGGTGTATGCTTTTGTATGGCCTCCGGGCCAAGTGGGAGTCATGTGAGAAGGTCATGTTCTTGTGTGGCCTCCTGAGTCTCTGAAAATTGTGCAAGGCTAGAGCCTGTTTTCGTGCAGTGTTCACAATATTCTCCGAAGCTACTTCAAAACAAAGACCTTATGCAATCTGGAGCAGCCTCAGGTAGACCACAGATGCTTGTCAACAGAAAGAGAATGCTGCCTACTGATGCGCATCTTGGGAAATGATGCGAGGCAGCCATTTTGAGTGACTGTGGTGGCGTCTACTTCAGATCCAACCTCAGTGCTGCTGATGAGTGCCACTGTTCAGGGTGACCGAGATTGGGGGGGGGGGGAGAGAATTATTTCTGTTTTCTGAGAGAGAGGGAGAGGGGGAGGAGAGAAAGAGAGAAAGAGAGAGACAGACAGACAGAGAGACAGAGAAAGAATGAGAGAGAATAGCAGGAGTGTCAAGTTAGGCATTTCCTGAATTTTTAACCCACCAAGTCCAAAACATTCACCATCGCTGTCCTTAGTTTTATTTTGGATGTATAATTAAGCAGGTGCAAGATCTGAATAGCATCTCCATTATTACAGAAATTGAGCAATGGCAATTTCAATGGAAAAAGAATACTGTTCATTTTATACATCATAGAAAAACGATATAAGATATTTTGCAGCTAATAAGGTTAAATGATGGCTAAAACGAGTCCTCCTGAAAATGAACAGATTAGATCTTTCTTCCAAATCCAATGTTAATGTAGCAAAACTCAACAGTATTGGAAATTAATTCTTTGCAGAATGGAATGAGGTTTGAAAGTTGTAGTTTCATTTCAACTTGCGATATTTCTATTACACTTTATTAAAGCACATACTCCTTCAAATTATACTGACGTGGCATTGTTTAAGATAATAGCTGCAAAAATTTTATCTGCTTTTATTGGAAAAGATTCTTCTTTTCCGCTATGGAAGAATGGTTAATTAAACTGTGGGAATATGCTTTGATGTCTAGAATAACTTCATTGCCGGGGAAAAAAAAATCTTCTATACAATTCAGTCATATTTTGAAATTATTTTTGGACTACAATTCTATGCATAGAATTAGGGTTATGCAAAGTAGCATAACCCTAATTTGGTCCTCTGGTTATTCATTTTGGGGGTGGGGGCGAGGGAGGGGAAGTATTTAACCAAATGGGTCTTTTATTTCCAAGTCAATTGTATAATTTAAGAGTACATTAATTAAACAATTAAGAGTTAGATTGGTGTAATGGTTAAAGGCACCAGACTAGAAACGAAGAGGCCATGTGTTCTAGTCCTCACACAGGAATGAAGCCATCTGGATAATTTTAGGTTAGTCTCTCTCTCTCTTAGAAGAGAGAGGTAATGATAAACTGCTTCTGAAAATGTAACCAATAAAACTGCAAGAATTTGTCCAGGCAGTTGCCAACAGTCGGGAATGATTTGAAGTAACATAAACACTTGTACTGCATGGGCAGTAGGTTTTCTCTCTGGCAATCATTTTGCCCTGTGGGTGATGCACGCACTAGACATCTTCCTAGTACTGTCATATTTGGTCAGAACCTAAATTGGCCCAAGATATTATGGCAAAGGGATGCGGTGGCTCAATGGCTAAGATGCTGAGCTTGTCGATTGAAAGGTCGACATTCAGCAGTTCGAATCCCTAGTGCCACGTTAACAGGGCGAGCTCCCGTTACTTCTCCCAGCTTCTGCCAACCTAGCAGTTCGAAAGCACGTAAAAAATGCAAGTAGAAAAATAGGGACCACTTTTGGTGGGAAGGTAACAGCGTTCCATGCGCCTTTGGCGTTTAGTCATGCCGGCCACATGACCACGGAGATGTCTTTGGACAGCGCTGGCTCTTTGGCTTTGAAACGGAGATGAGCACCGCCCCCTAGAGTCAGGAACGACTAGCACATATGTGCGAGGGGAACCTTTGCCTTTATCTATTATGGCAAATGAATGTATAGTTCCTTCCTCCAAGGGAAGACCCTTGATTGATCCAAAATCCTCCTTTGTGTTAAGTACCATATGTACTGATGGATTATACAACTAGCCCCCTTGAGTCAGAATTGGGAAATCTTTACCATTGTTTTTTAGAAGATGTGACTGAAGTATATGTCTATAGTGCATTGTTTGTCTAGTGAATGTCTTTCCTACCTTATTAGTATATGAGGGATGAACATATAGACATCTGCTGAATTTTTCTTCAATGATTTAAGATATTATCTAGCTATTACAAGTTTGTTTTTACACAGAGGCATATGTACACATATATTTGTTACCTTTACAGTGGAGGCTATGAACAGTGTCTGCCGTCCCGCGCCTGGCTCCGTTTCTCCAGTCAATCTTAAAAACATGAAACTTGGGACTACAATGAAGTGTGAAGATCACAGGCATTGCTCTCTCCACTTAAGCGTTAAGGCAAACCTGCAACTTAATGGTAAATCAGAAGATTTCATAGGGAATGTGGATAATAACTGAGGGCTCTTGTTCTGTGGAAAAGCATGTGCAAAAAATCCCAGCTCTACTTCCAGTTCTTTAGAGAGATCTAGGAAGAACTCATGTCTTTCATGGATAATTATTGCATATGAGGGGAAACCCAGGGCATTCTTTTGGTCCTGAGAAATCCTTTCGGTTAGGGCTCCCATCACAATATTGGTAAAAAGATGGTGATTCCATCTGAGAGTGCATACTTGTTCTGGTACCCAGGACTTGTACACCAAGCTGGTCTTGGTGTAGAATGTTCTCTTAGGGGAAGGGATAGTGCCAATAGGTTGCGTCATAATTAACGCTACCAAATTTGAATTGCAAGAATATGGATGATCACTAGATAGCAGCAAAAGGATGGGAATTGTTGTATTGTTTGCTGGATCCTGTGGTCACATCAGTATATACTAAGGCAATTTAAAACAATGTGAAGTTCAAAAGTGTGGGTTTCAGCTCAGGACAATGGGAGAATATTCCTTGGGTTCTTAAGATGCTTCCAAGTGCCATTAAGAAATTACAAATTAAAATTAAATGAATGCAACTGGAAAGAAATCAAGAAAGATAGCTGTATCAAAGAAAGCAATAGAAGTTGTTTTTGTGCAGCAAACAAACTACTGTAAATCAATATTCCCAGTTGCATGAAGATAACATGATTCCATATAGAAATCTACGAAAATACTTTCTTTAGCAGAAATTTTAGTGGTGATAAAGGAGATACGAAAGTAGGAGAGTCATCTGTCTAATCAATGTTGACCTTAATGGATTTGGTCAAATTGGATTGGCATTTACAGAGGTTGGCTACTAATACACTTTAGCTCCATGAAAGTAGAATTAAAATGCTGTTTTCTCCTAATGTTTTATTTGGTAGAACTTTGATCGAGGAGCACTTCAACTTTCAAAAGTGAGGTGCTCATCTTTGATTAGCCTATACTGGGGTGGGCAACTGTGGTCCTTTTACAACCTGTGGACTTCAACTCCCAGAATTCCTGATACAGCCAACCTGGCTCAGGAATTCTGGGAGTTGAAGTCCACAGGTTATAAAAGGGCCACAGTTGCCCATCCCTGGCCTATACAGATTCTAAAAGTTATGTTATTTGTTTCAGAGGGCTTTTTATTTCTATGGTTCATTCATAAAGGGTTTTCCCCCACCCCACTCTTTCATAATATTCTATTGGAAGTGAGTAATAATTCCTTCCTCTCAAAGTTTGTTTTTTTGAATTTTGAATTTGCTTTTATTTCTACATTATTTTCAGAAAATACTTCTGGTGTTCAAATTTGTTATATCCTGATGGTTACTCAAAAAACCAAGTGTGTGAAAGTGAAGATTTCCAGGGGGCAAAATGCCCATCCTGAGGGAAATAAGGTAAAAGATTTCAGCGGTTTCTGTCATTTTATTAGAGTTAAATTTAAATAGTCTTGGAAGAAGGTGATATGGTGTCTCTCAATGTAAGACGTGATTTTTTTTTCTTTTAAGATGACAGGGCAAAGTTATATGTTCAGAGGTAAATATGGTGTTCCCATTTTCTCATTTTATAATGCTATGAAGTTATTTACAGAACAGAGTTGGACAGAGTCAGCCTTTCGAACAAAAAATACCAACCATGAGTACTCAAACTATTTTTATTTGAAGGTTACACTAACAGTATCTTGCAGGTCTACAAGTACCTTTTATTTTTACTCTCCCAAATACTAAAAAGATTCCCTTCTGATATGCTTTGTCTACCCCCACACCTCCTTTGAACTCAGATTTCTCTTATTTGACTGTTGTCTAGAGTAGACTGTGACTCTTCCTTCTATCTTCCAAGGTCATTCCATTCCAAGACCATTACAAATAGGAAGGCTTGTGGATCTTCCCTTATATTTTTTGTCAGCTATTACTGAGACTGCAGAAAAATCAAGATATATGTCAGGGTTCAATATGATACCTCCAATAAAATTGTTCTTTGAGGAACTTGCCTGCCTCGGAGTTCTGTTTTCTATGGAGTTATTACTTGGAACCCTGACAATGTACTTATTTATTTAATAAATTGGTATGGCAACTCATTTCAATCAGAATAGAGCTGGAAGGGACCTTGGAGGCAGGTCCCCTTGCTCAAGCAGGAGACCCTATACCATTTGAGACAAACGGTGGTCCAATCTCTTCTTGAAAACCTCCAGTGATGGAGTACTCACAACTTCTGGAGGCAAGTTGTTCCACTGATGAATTGTTCTGACTGTCAGGAAATTTCTCCTTAGTTCTAAATTGCTTCCCTTCTTCATTAGTTTCCATCTGTTGCTTCTTGTCTTGCCTTCAGGTGCTCTGGAAAATAGCTTGAGAACCGCCCCTCTTATTTGTGGCAGCCCCTCAAATATTGGAAGATAGATATCATATCCGCCCCCCCCAGTCCTTCTTTTAATTAAACTGGACATAACCAATTCCTGCAATCTGTTTTCAATCAATGAATCAATGAATCAATGAATCAATGAATCAATGTATCAATGTATCAATGAATCAATGAATCTGATTTTGGATAGCATACAACCGACACTTAAAACACTGTTATAGCTATTTTAAAAAGCTTAAAATATAAATAAAAGCAAAATTGCTGGAGAACATGCACCTAAGCACAATATAATAATTATGCAGGCTTTCCATGGGATGTCCAAGGCTTCTGGAAAAGTTAGGTTTGGGGGATTTTCTGAAAGATTAACAGGGATGGGCTAACCTCACCTTCGGTGGGGTTGGGGGGATGATGTTCTAGAAGGCAGGAGGAACATACCATCTGGGTCCCAACGGATGAAAGCCAATGGGTCTCTCAACACAACCTTCCTGTTGGACCTGATGGGATGGGCAGATATGATTGGGAAAAGAGTGGTCCCTTAAATAGCCTGGCCCCATGCCATGTTGGACTTTAAATGTGAAAACCAGCTCCTTGAATCACATTCAGAAGCAAAGATCAGCCAGTTCAGCTCACAGAACAGAGATACAATACAACTATCCACACAGCTGCATCAATTGAAACTCTCAAATACTTTTGAAGGGAACCCCAGGCAAAGTGCATTTCAGTAATCTACTCTGGAAGTAACCAGAGCATGGGTTTCTGGGAGTAGAAGAGCCTTGCGATTCAATAAAGGGTACAAATGATACACTATATGAAGCTGTTCAAAGCCCCTCCTAGTCACCACTGCCACTATGCGAATGACTCATATATCATTGTGTAATGGGATCATGACATGTGTGTAACATTATTTTGTCATCATCATAGCTTCCAATCTCCAAGGCTGGCTCTGGAAGTTATTTTGGGATTAGAAGTTATATATTCGTTCTACGCAGTTCTGGTATTTTAGTTTATTTTCCACACTATTATACCAGCCAAATGGTTGCCTGGCCAAAGTGAGAATGAAGATATTTGAACTATTTAAAACAAGGTCCCCAAAACACTAGTACAAAAGGAACAAGAACTGGTTCAAATTGTTTCCACAATTTGCCTTGAGCCTTGAGCTATGAAAATTAGTATGATGACTGTGTGGGCTAAGAATATTGCATGCCATTGCTCCCATATGGATTTATTTAAAAGAATATCCCTGAAAACACAAATCAAACAATTATTCCCCATAAACTTAATTATATCCCCCATGCTCACATCACATTTTCACAGAAAACATTGTGTACCTCTCTCTTACTTCCAAAGGGAAGTACTTCCAACTAACCTGCCAATTCCTGAAATCTAGATTTGGCAATATATTTTTTACGGACTTCTTCTTTTTGAAAAAAGCAATGTATATATTACGGTTAGGAAATATTACTACAGAAGGGACATCTAGGGATTTTCCAGAAAATCTTATACCTCATAAAAAATACTTTGAGTTTGATATTGATTCATGGGTAAAGGTTTAAACATTTCCTCAAACAAGGTTGATACTATTGGTATATATATCTATATCCATATGCTCCTCTGGGCCAGCAGTGAAATCCACTTACCTTCGCTACTGATTTGGGAATGGGAGCATGCGGGAGCGCAGAGCGTCAAAAAGGGGACATAATGATCTCCTGGCGGGTGAGTTCACGCGAGCTGGATAGATCCGGCCGATTTCACCGCTGATCTGGGCCCAGTTGAATTGATTGGATACAACATTTGATGCATGGAGGAACAAGAAATACAACCCTAATTCCAAGGCCAACAGTGTTTACTTTTGGCCAGCTTCCTGCAAAGAAAGCTAAGTTGGAGCCAATGTTGCAATGCAACAAAATCTTTTAGATGTTTTACTTTGAATTAAATCCTCCTCTATTCATTATGGTGCATTTGTGGGTTGTAGAGGCGAGTCTCATCTTAAGTTATAGACGTTATAAGGATATGCCTTTTTATGTTTGCTTTTGTTTTTTGTCTTTTTTTGTCTTTTTTTTTTGAGTTTTGTATTTTAACTTTCTTTTGAATAAAATAGTATGAAAAAAAAGGATACGCCTCCACATGTCAATATTTTTGATCTTAACAATAATAATTTTTTTATATTAGAAACACGACTATTTTATCATAATCCAAATCTCTGAGTTTAATATTAAATACGATCAGAGTTCTTGCTCATGAGCCCAGTCATGTTTGCTTTAATGAAGGGGTTAGAGTTGCTTCCTGGATCTTCAGTGGATTGGCAAGTTCTAACCATAGGGCAGAACTCAATTTCAAGTAGATTGCTGGATAGTCCCCGCTGTCAAAACTCTGAGTGATGAGTTAAATTTGGAATTTTATCAATGCATTTCTTGAAACAGGATAGCCTTTGGAAACTGAGAACATAATTAAATAAAAGCTAGGAAATTAATAAATACAGAATAACAGAGTTGAAAGAGTCCTTAGAAATCTTCTAGTCCAACCCACTTGCTCAGGCAGGAAAACCTATACCTGGGAGGGTGAACCTGTGGCACGCATACCACAGGTGGCACGTAGAGCCCTCTCTACGGGCACGCGGGCTATTGCCCCGCTGGTCAGCTGGTTTTCAAGTCTCTGGTGCATATGCATGGGGGTGGGGTGCACTGGGGTATGTGTTGCGTGTGCATGCGTGGGGGCGGGGCGCACAGGGTCTCATGCGCATTGCATTATGGGTGTTTACGCGTGCACAAGTGCTTTGGCACTCAGCAAAAAGGTTAGCCATCAGTGGCCTATAGCATTTCAGACAAATGGTCGTTCAATTTAGCACCAGCTGCCTGCAATTACTGCAAGTTCAAATCTCACCAGGCTCAAGGTTGACTCAGTCTTCCATCCTTTTGTGGTAGATAAAATGAGGACCCAGTTTGTGGGGGCAATAAGATGACTTCGTATATATATATATATATATATAAAGAACACCCTTTGGGGGGGGGAAAGCCCTACTAAGCAGGTATATACAAAAGTATGAAGGCTATTGCTTAACGCATTGTAAGCCGCCCTGAGTCTCTGGAGAAGGGTGGCATATAAATCGAACCAATAAATAAAAAATAAATGAATCTCTTCTTTAAATGGAACACCCACAATTTCTGGAGACAACCTGTTCCACTGGTTAATTGTTCTCACTGTCGGGACATTTCTCTTTAGTTCTATCTGCCAGAATTATTCAGGGTAAGAGAAGAAAATAAAAAACGACACATAACATTAATACATTTGGAAAATAATCTTAGTGGAATGCCTGTTTCCTCATGCTCTCGTTTTGTGAAGTAGTGTCTAAACTGAAGATTCTTTTCATGCAAACAGGTGAAAATACAATTTAATTGCTTTGAAGTCAGTGTGGGACAACATCTCTATGTAACCATGACAACATTTCCAAATTATTGTGGAGTTAAACAGACTCAAGAATATTATGTTGAAGGTAGGAAACTTTAAAAAATGTTGATTTTATGTGTGTACATGCATGCAGCTGTGTTCACTTGAATGTTTATGCTAATGCAAATACTAAAATGAAGATGATGCTGACACAAATATCAGTTCAAGTGATTGACAAGCATTTACCAACTGTTTGAAGTTATAACAACACTGAAAAAAATAACTGACAACTGGTCCTCACACTTACAAATGTTGCAGCATCTCCACAATCAAATGGAGCTGCACACGCCTTTGCCTGCCACACATGTAGAACCATCCTTTCTCCCCCTGACCTCTGCCTGTCCACAAAGCCGAAAAGGTTGGGGAACTCTGTTTTAGATCATGCCTTAAGATCAAGATATTGAATTAAATGGCTCTTACTCAGGAGTGGGTTTCTCTGCCTGGTTGCTGGTGGGCGTGGCCATGGTGGGCAGAGCCTAGTCGACTTCCTGCACCATGGTGGGGGGGGAGTGTATTTGCCCTCCCCAGGCTCCGAAGGCTTTCCTCAAGCCTCCGGGAGTGCGAAAACAGTCTCCCCAGGCTCCAGAGGCCTTCTGGAGGCTGGAAACGGGCCCGGTTCTGGCCTTCCTGAACTTCTTGAACTAGGCCCATTTTTCATCTTCCCCGAGCTTCTGCATGTGCCCTGCACTTACCTGCATACAAAATGGGCCGCATGGGGACTCCTGGGAGGGGTGGGGTGGTCGAGGCCAGCCAGGAGTGGGATTTGGGGGTTCTCTGAACTGCACAGAATCTTAGCTAGAGGTTCTCCCAAACCCCTGCAAATCCCGAGCAGCCCACCCCTGCTCTTACTTAATTATAATGAATACTTTGCGGTCTAAAAGTTGGTGTGTATCAGTAATCCCCTGGGCACATGAAGAACAACTTGTAGTTTACCAGCTAAAATCCAGTTACCTCCATGTTCAATTTAGGGTTTCCTGTCAGTGCAATAATAATAAGAAAAAACGAATCTTTAATCAAGGAGATACCTACTTCTAAATTTTAGGATCTCCATCTTATTTTTATAGCAGCAGTAGTAGTAGCAGAGCAAATTATCTTGTGCTTAAGTAATATTACCACTACTTGTGACTTTAAAACTGTGGTACAGCTCCTCAAAAAATTATTCCTGTGACTATATAACATTCATTTGATGAAAATAAAATGATATCATTTTCAAAATGAACTTTCAACTTATTTGAATATACAATACGGCTTTTTGAAATAGCTATTAAAGGCTATGAAAGCTTTGATGGGACATTTCAAACTGGGTTTTGAGGCCTCCTTTAGCAGTTCTAATGGCTGAAAAAGACTTTTGCTAACACACTGTTTCTGGAATTGCTGGATGAGGCAATTTGCATATCTGGACTTTTTCATTCTGCAGTCTAGTATCTTTCACTGAGGTGAAGCCAAGCCAATAATGGGGGATATAAGATTTTTTTTCACTAAGAATTTCAGATGCATTTTTCCTGTTGGAATCTGTTCCTATAGTTAGGAAGCACGAATCTGACTGGTTGTGGAGAAGATATACTTGTTTTTGCCGTCCACCTATCATGGTCCTTTGAGAACTTCTGGAATACAGGAGAAATGCCTGGAGATTGAAGAGCTAACAATATTTGAAAAGGGAGAAAAGCGGACCCAGAAAACTATGGACCAATCAATTTGACATCAACACCTAGGAAAGTCCAAGACCAGTGATTCTCAACCTTGCCAACTTTAAGATGTGTGGACTTCTACTCTCAGAATTCATAGCTAGCTGAAGAATTCTGGGAGTTGAAGTCCACACATCTTAACATTGCCATGGTTGGGAAATACTGTCCTAGAAAAAGTTCATGTTATAGCCCTGCTGGACATATTCTCTGATGAGGAGGATGGAGAGGAAGTAGAATCAGGTATATCCATGGACAATAAACTTAACAGTGGTGGTGAAGCCAATGACTCCATTCTGGTTGAAGCAGCCCCAGGCCTCCTTAACTGCACCCACTGACAGTTCAACCACCCAGTTGTAGGCAGAGTATGTGATAAAGATTCCACAACAGAGAGCAGGACTCTGCAGATCTGAGAGATCTGCCAAGAAGACAGCATAAGGGTCCATGCTGAGAAGTAAACTGCTCTAATTGTGTATTGAAGAGGCTCAGTATGGTTGGTTTATTAGCTTCCCTCCTGGAAGCAGAACTATTCAAGCCTCACTTCTATCATATTCACTTTGCTATGCCATGCTTAGAACCCTGGATTCCATTTCAGTAGGCCTCTTGTCTTGTCCCTTTGATCTGTCACTTATTTATCTTTAATTGGAGAAGTGGCTCCAACAGATCCCAGGAATGACATCAGAGCTTTCTATCCAGAAGAGTGTAGTGTTAGGAACAGCTGAGATACTGTGCAGAACTCTCAAATCTCCAGGCCTCTGCTAGAGGGCCCAACATTGTGAAAGACATATACCTTACCATAGGGGTAAGAAATGATTTTTAAAATATTTCAAATAAATAAATAAATGTTATCAGAATAATAAGTGAATAATGTGATTCCATGTGAACCTTCATAATTAAGCGAATCCATTACTCTTTCCTTCCTTTCATTCCTCCCTCCAGGAAGGCTTCCAATCACACTAAGTTGTGTTTCTATAATGGCTTAAATAAGCCACTTCATTAGGTTCACAAAAGGCACTTTTTCAAAATCAAAGCAATCACACATAGACCTAGAAGCAGAAAGAACATAACTGTATTTGAGAAAAATTTTCTCCAGGTTGTCAGTCCAATTAAACTCCTTATTTAATCATCATAGCTGAATCAATGAAATATTTGTAATCTGTATGCTACTGTATAAAGGGATTTCTACTGATTTCTGACCATCCCTCATGAAAATATAACAGATGTCTTAAGAAAATAAACAACTTGAAAATCTGTTGTTGTTTTTTTAATTTTGCAGACTGCAGAAACAATGATGTGGGGAAAAATATTCCAGATTGTTTTGGTAAGTTGAGGTCTCTGCAATCTAAAACAGTAGCATATTTAGTAGTCTACTAAATATTTCATCAACAAGGACATTTTAGGATTCTTTAAGAGTTGACAGTTTTGATCAATTTTGATCAATTGTAGTTGATACTACAATTTTATTTATATTTACTCCAGATAAATTTGTATAAGATTGTAGACTAACATTTATTGAAATCAATTTTCCTACACAAATAACATTAATATTCCAAATAAAGTTTAAACTCCTCAATTATCTTGTCTTGTATGGACACACAATAATTATTGGCTACCGAAAATACAAACATATGGCAGTACCATTACAATTTTTTCTTTGTTGTAAATTTCAGTGAGCAAAATGGCTTATAATGTGGACAGAACCAGAAAAACCATTTCAGTGAATATTTCAGATGTCCAAAACACAGACTGTTATGTCCGTTTATGTCATCAAAGATTTGTATGTGAAGATGCGGGGCCTGTCACTTTGGTAAGTACTTGAAAGAAGTAGAAAATGTTTTATGAAATTAATTCAGCTAGCAAAACAGTACTGAAGGTGTTTAAAGGGTAACATAATTCCATGAGAATTCCAAGGATAATAGAAATATGTTTTTAAAAATTATTATTTTCTCCCTTTTCCTAACATCTACACCTTTCTTTCTTCCACCCTTTTCTCTTGCTGTTTTCTTCCCCCATTCCCTCTAGTATTTGAAGACATCTAATTGTGAGAAGTTAAATGAACAGAAATTCTAAGAATTTCTAAATGCAAATGATAAGATTTGGACTCGTTGCACTATAAAGGAAGAGAACACCAGTTTATGAAAAAAATATATGGGATAGGATATAATAGGAGCTGTTAGGAGTTGAGTGGGATGCAAATTTGATAAATAAATTAGGTATGGGGAAAAAAGAAAACAAGGCTACATAGGCATAATTCTTAATGTGATCTGGATCTTGTCGCTATGTTGGAAATCGTCTTTGCTAAGTATTATGAATAAAAAAAATATAAGAAGCTGTATTGAGTTCTTTGTGACCAATGGTTAATGACTAAAGTTTATCGTGGAAATAGGATGTTTTACTTGAGAAAAAGTAAACGAGGTGTATACAGTTATTCACGATACTGGCATATAGAGGAAAATGTGTCTGCCTTTTGGAATATCAGAATAGAATCATGAATAAAACTTAACACAGGGCGAAACAGGACAAATGAAAGAAAATATTTCTTCACTTAACCCATAGTAAACTATACAACTTTGTAGCTATTAATATATACTGATGACTGCCAAGTTGGCCAGCTTTAAAGAGGCTTAGATTAGTTCATAATAGTTAAGCCCATTTGTAGTTATTAATTATGAGAGCTATGGATTATGGTCAATATTAGAGAATTAAAAATTCTGGCTTTCATTCTTCCTTTCAACTGTCAAGACAAGATAGATACTAAGAAATGTTGCTTGGTGCTGGAAATATAAATAGGATGGGAGATTGGACTGGAATGAGAGATGACAATGGGCGCCTGATCTTCTCAGGGTGTTAACATTACCTACTTAATTTCTAATAAGAAAGGAAGAGAATTTAGAATATTAGGCCTCTTGACCAGTGAAAATGTTAGCAAATAACCAATGCCACATACACAGAAGGAAAACAACCACAATACACCTAACTGATCTTTTCCCTTACAATGGAAATTCTTCCCAAAGCCAGTAACAGACTCTTTTTCCATTACTCTCTCTCTTATTTCCTTCTTTCCTACTGACTTAATCAGCATTCCTACATAAATCTTCTTTCCTCCACCAGATATTTGACTGAGACTTTCACCCTTTTGTCCCTATTTGAGAGGAAGCTTAACTTTTTCAGGACTTTGTGAAATAGGGAAATTCCAACAATTTCCCCCAATATTGTTTTTGTGTTCTACTTATAGATTTCCAATAGATATTCCTATAGTCAATAATGGACTATAGATACCCCCCTGGGGTCATTACTAGATTTCTCGGCATATTCTTATGTCAGTAAATATTAGACTGACCCTGTTAATTTTGGATCATATTATTTATCTGCTTTTAATGTTTAAACTAATGCTAAAGAAAGTTAATGCAAAGATACGTAACTACAATTGTTGGAAAGCAAAGATGGATAAAACATTTCATTTGGGAGGGAAGCTAGGGATATAATTGAAATTCAAAAATATAAGGTCTTCTAAAGAATAGGGATGCAGTACTCAGTGGCTAGGATGCTGTGCTTGTCGATTGAAAGGTTGGCAGTTCAGCAGTTCAAATCCCTAGTGCTGCATAATGGGGTGATCTCCCGTTACTTGTCCCAGCTTCTGCCAACCTAGCAGTTCGAAAGCACATAAAAAATGCAAGTAGAAAAATAGGGACCACCTTTGGTGGGAAGGTAACAGCGTTCCATGTGCCTTTGGCATTTAGTCATGCCGGCCACGTGACCATGGAGATGTTTTCGAACAGCGCTGGCTCTTCGGCTTTGAAACAGAGATGAGCACCGCCCCCTTGAGTCAGGAAGGACTAGCACATATGAGTGAGGGGAACCTTTACCTTTAAAGAAGACTAGGACTAGGATTTCTCTCCATCTCTTTTGAGTAGGAAGTTGTCTTTCGCACAACTGCAAAATCATTTTCTTCCTTCTCAAGTAATCACCGCAGTCTAAACATATACATGGAATTACTTTGAATAAGTCAAAAGACAGCTTTAATTTTACCATGGTCCTGGAATAATCCATAAATAACTGCAATGTTTTGGAATATTAAGCTTAAAGTGCTAAAGAAATCACCTTGCACCAGGTGTGTAACAGCAAAATGACTGGATGATATTTATATAGATGCATACATCTTTCTGCAACTCTTCTGTCTGTGCAAAAAAGTTTGACCTGTCACCTCCTGTTTTATAATTTCAGATTCAGGGAAAGGACATGATGAAATCCGCTTCTTTGCAATACGCTCAACTGCTGCCTTGTCTGTGTATTGAGGTAAATGTTTCCACATAGCTTGATGTACGATAGCTCAATATATAGGAATCCTTCAAATACCCTTTCACAACTGTCTACAGGATTGAGTCAATATACAAAAAAATCAGCTGGCACTTTTATTATGCCATTGTGGCCACCATTTTGAGATTTTTGAGCAGAACCTGCAGACAGCTCTGAGATCATGACTTAGGGGAGCGGGCTTATCCTAAAACCTAAAACCTCCCACCTATGACACACAGATAACAAAAATCTCAAAATGGTTTGCATTAGTGTTACATCCAGTTTTTAAAATTTAATCATTACAAAAATAAATAGTAAAACTCATTTTATTTAGATCTTTCCCAGAGAAGAACTGAGAAGTTTATTTTTGCTGTATTCTTTCCTATTATATACATTTATGTTATTTTGATTACTCCATAAGACACCTTAAGAGAAAGGCCACATAGAAAGTGTCGTACAGGCAATACTTAAATTGAAAAGCAATTTAAAACTTATGGTGATTTGAACTAACGGATGCATATTTGGATTACAGGTGTGGCCGGCAATTTTAGATGCACGAAGAATGCAGTTGTGCCCATTCAAGAATGGCAAGTGAAATGTGCTTTTTGCTTTTTCTGAGTGGTGATTATGCAATTTCAGAAGCATAACGGGTGGGAAGAATAATGTCACATGTAGCCGTCCCCCCAATAATCTGTCACTTGAGTCATTTGAGTGGGTAGCAAACACAAATTGTAAACTAAACAAACCAATGCATAAATCTGACTTCTTTTCTTACAGATGTGTTCCTACATTTGCTTGTTTATAAAAAAAGCCCTATAACAACAAACAAAACGTGACCGTATTTCTTACTTTTCTAATAATGGGAATAATTGCAAAAATCTCAGCATATATGTTGCTATTACAAGAAAGGCACATAACATTCACTCATCATTCTGATCTAGTTGTAGGACGACCATAAATTCAGGTCAAATAACAGAATAGGCTATATTAGTATGATACCATATATATATATATATATGGTATATTAATATATATATATATATATATATTAATATCCTGTGGTTCTGTTCAAGAGAGAGAGAGAGAGAGAGAGAGAGAGAGAGAGAGAGAGAGAGAGAAATAGCTCAGTGTAACAACACATTCTGAAGTTTATCCTTTTCTTCTGTACCACTGAACAGAACCAGAGGATATTAACTTGATAAACCATAAATGGTTTATGTCCATCCAATAAGATCTAGCAGGGAACTCTGAGTCCCATATTTTAGGGATTCCCATCACAAGAGTATGGTTTTTCTGTAGCTGACCTGCCCCTCTCCTTTGCAAGAATGCAATATGTGAAGGTAGGCTAGCACTAATCCTGTTGCCATTCTGAAAGCTATCATGACCTGGCCCTTCTGGAAAACATCTGGGGACTGGGCATAAGATGGTTCTCCTCCACGCAGTAGTCAATACATCTAGAAAAACGTTTAAAGATTGGCAAGCTGATATTTTTTTATTTGTTCGATTTTATTTCTGTTCCAATTTTGAACAACTTAGAATATTTTTGGAACTGGGTGGCACATAAATTCCTGAAAATAAATGAATGTCCAAATATGAGTACACACTATTTATATCCCCTTTCTACTGTCATTCAGAGTGGCCATGATAAATTAAAAGCTCATTTGATATATATTTAGCCAGAACAATAGCATTCTAATGATTCACAAACCATATTTTCATATGGACTGATTTTTTTTTAGCTACAAGAACTGTCAGAAACAACTTTAGCATATGATAGGAACATTTTTATCTCTTATGCTGTAATTTGTATAAGCTTATAAAGAGGAGACAAAATTTGAAGTCAGCAACATCAAATGTGATATTTAAGGGTGAACGTGATAATAAATAAGATGGCTTCATGTCTATTTTTTGCAACAGATAATAAAGTTTGCTAAATCAGGCTAGACTTACTCATTTTCTGTACCAAACTGGTGCAGAAATAAAAGCTGTCATAGTGTTAGCGTAACAAAGCATGTAACAATAGTAATAGATAATAACTCTGAAAAAATCCCCACCATTTATTAGAATAGAATAAAAACTTTGTCATTTTAAATGTACGCTAATCAGCATACAATTCAGCTCTCAAAAGATAACCATTATGCATATACCCACATATACACCCATATATGACACAGAGAAACATCACAATCTAATTTGAATGTATACATATTTTGTTGTTGTTAGTTGCAAAGTTGTGTCAGACCCATCGCAACATGGACAATGTTCCTCCAGGCCTTCCTGTCCTCTACCATCCTCTGGAGTCCATTTAAGCTCACGCCTATTGCTTCAGTGACTTCATCCAGCCACCTCGTTCTCTGTCGTCCCCTTCTTCTTTTGCCCTCAATTTTTCCCAGCATTAGTCCTTCCTTCTCATTAGGTGGCCAAAGTATTTGAGTTTCATCTTCAGGATCTGGCCTTCTAAAGAGCAGTCAGGGTTGATCTCCTCTAGGACTGACTGGTTTGATCGCCTTGCAGTCCAAGGGACTCACAGAAGTCTTCTCCAGCACCATAGTTCAAAGGCCTCAATTCTTTGGCGCTCAGCCTTTCTTATGGTCCAACTTTCACAGCCATACATTACAACTGGGAAAACCATAGCCTTGACTATACCATGTATACATATACATGGCAAAAAAAAGAAAGAATATAGAGAGTTTATAAGATGGATGGCAAGTCTTATTTTTTAGATACAGGAAATTTGCTTCCAAATTTGCATGTGCAGTCTGAATTAACCATTATGCAAAATAAGCCTGTGTTAAAGGCTCTAAGAGGAGGGGGCACCATAGAGGTTTTTCTTCTGTTAAGTCCTTAAGTCTTTCACTGCCACACTTAACTTTTGTCAGGTTTTCATAATTGTTTTTATCTGCTGCATTTGACTTTAATCTGCATTGCTAAAAAAAGATGTTTTTTTGGCATGATGAGTGACTAAAGCTGAAAAGTTTGTTTTGAAGGGATAATCAGATATCACATTTGTTCTCATTCAATAGAAGGAGAGCTTCCCTTCCATTGAGGGGCACCATTGTTGGGTTGTGCTTGGGACATCAGTTGGCTTTAATCCAGTGGTGAAATCCAATTTTTTTTACACCAGTTCTGTGGGCGTGGCTTGGTGGGTGTGGCAGGGGAAGGATACTGCAAAATCCTCATTCCTTCCCCACTCCTGGGGGGGGAAAGGATATTGCAAAAATCTCCATTCTCACCCCACTCTGGGGCCAGCCAGAGGTGGTATTTGCCAGTTTTCCGAACTGCTCAAAATTTCCGCTACCGGTTCTCCAGAACCTGTCAGAACCTGCTGGATTTCACCCCTGCTTTAATCCAGTCTTATGAACATGGAAAGAAAAGTAAATAAAAAACAGAAAGAGAGAGAGGGCATTCTATAACTTTATAAATATCATACCTTCTAGCAAAATGAATTAATTCTGCACAACTATTTGATATGGGTTTCAAACTGTTGGTGATTATTAAAAGGGGCTATTTTTCTGGCAAATCTGCTGAAATGATCAATATGACCTGTCAGAGTACCATGCACCTCAAGGATGTTTAACTTTTCTGGCTCTGTGAATACTGTCCAGTTAAGTTGAGATTTCGCATTCAATGGTGTGACTGCTAGCAAATGGAAATGGCAGAATTCCCTTTGAACTCCATAATTCAGAATGAATTTCTTAGTCTTTACTCTAAAATTGAACCATAATAGAGAGACTGGCTTGTTCTCATTAAGATTAAATAGCAAGTCCTACCTCTGCTATTGAACAAGGTCTGACAAGCAAAGTTTCTGGGTTTGTGGATGTTTCTATTCACTGTATGTTCAAGCAAACATGAATTGAAGTCTTGTTTGGATATTACTCCACTAGCAGAAGGGAGTGGAAATTAAGCAGGCAAGGAAACAGATGTGCAGAGGGGCAGGGGTGGGGATGTACCTTAACATCCATCTCCTCTTTTAACCTTCATGAACCTGGGCTAAGTATTTGCATAAGACTGATAGTGATAAGCATCAAATCAAATAATGATGAGCAGCATCATTCTAGTGTTATACTGTACTACAAATACTTCCTTATTAATTTTCTGTGGTTGCTTATTGATTTTCTGTGGTTGATCCTCCCACTTGGCATCCTAGTACAGTACTTCAGCTCCCATGAACCTTGACCATTGGACAGAAATGCATTCATAGCATGAAGTGTGAGATTTAAAGAGGGGGAAGGAATGTCAATTATATGACTTCAAACTACCACACAGAAGAAAACCCCGATCTATGTTTTTGTAGCACAAGTGATGAGTCCTAGGAGTAACAAGTACAGTTCTTCTTTACAGTTCAATAATTAACTAGGTTCATGCTTCACACACTTAAGATCACGGTTCTCACCCACCTTGGCTGAAAACATCTAAAAGGGTACTGGAGAGCAACAAAGATATAGAAAACTCTTGATTATTTGATGCCCTCCTGAGGGCGTTAGGATTTTTAAAAACTCGGATAAGGTAACCCAATGAAGCTACAACTCTCTCCATCCTATTTTAGCCCACACGATAGGCATTTAGTATAGCTGCATTTGGGGGAAATGATTCAGATCAGCATTCTGAATGTTAGAGGAACTCATATTTATACGTCTTTGTTTTCTTCATTTCTTTGTCTTAGATACTAGGTCCCTGTGGGATAATATTGTTTATCAACCTGCCACACAAACACTGACTTGGGAAGCTGCCTGTCCTGTTCATGTTACTGTCAGCCTTTGTCAACTGATGAAGATTAATGATAAATGTGTTGATCTAGAGGGCACTGTCAACATTGCTACAGAGAAAGTAAGCAATAATAAAAAAAAGAGAAAATGTTCACTACACTACACTACATAAAAGGCAGGCTTATTGCCCAGATCTTGTCACACTACTGGCTGTCATGAATGTTTCTTAGATGCATGAAACTTCATTCAATTCAACAGAATCAGATTTACTAGACAATATTTTAAACTTGCCAGGGTCCTATAATGAAGCCTTATAGAGTGCTCAACAGACCATGCAAATAAAATCTGAAGACCACTTATGCCTATCTTTCTGATATCTGACTCACTTATAAGGTCAAAAATCCAACTTTTTCTAAGCCGAAAGGGGAGGAAAAAATGGAAAACCTAACCTGGATTGCTCTAGGTTGTAAATACTATTGTAAATACATTCCCTTTGACATATCTCCCACTTCTCTAAAATTTGAATCACACTGATGTCCTGTTGTAAGCATAGAAGATACTGCTTTATGTTCTTTGACATACATATGGGTGAACACCTGACTCAAGACACACCTATAGCCGATGCTAATCCTCTTTCACAAAACTGGCACTAATGAAAGCATTGCCAAAGATTTTGAATTAGTGTGATCTGCATGTAGAGATAGATTTATAATGTAGAACTTTATCTGCAAACATCAATAATGGAGAAGGTTTTCACAACTGCATATCATCCTCTCTGTACAGTTCACTAACCATGTGTATTATGAACTTTGGAGTGTGTGAGTCAAGACAGAGGTTATATGGATCTCTGGAACCCATTGATTTTCATTCAGTTGATTTTTAAAAATGAAAACTACATGGTAATTGAAGAATTATCACACTGTATTAAGAGCACAAAGTAACCCAAAACATTTTTCTCCTCCTTCACTTTTAAAAAAAATGTACCAGATGTTCACAAGAATTCCGAGCTCTCCACAAATACTCCTATTTCATATAGAATAGAATAGAATAGAATAGAATAGAATAGAATAGAATAGAATAGAATAGAATAGAATAGAATAGAATAGAATTCTTTATTGGCCAAGTGTGATTGGACACAAGGAATTTTTCTTTGGTGCGTATGCTCTCAGTGTACATAAAAGAAAAGATACACTCATCAAGAATCATAATGTACAACACTTAATGATAGCCATAGGGTACAAATAAGCAATCAAATCATATTAGGAAACAATCAATATAAACCGTAAGGATACAAGCAACAAAGTTACAGTCATACAGTCATAAGTGGGAGGAGATGGGTGATAGGAACAATGAGAAGATTAATAGTAATGCAGACTTAGTAAATAGTTTGACAGTGTTGAGGGAATTATTTGTTTAGTCGAGTGATGGCGTTCAGGAAAAAACTGTTCTTGTGTCTAGTTGTTCTGGTGTGCATATTTTTTTTTTGACTCGTGCAGTATACACGTCCTCAATGGAAGGCAGGTTGGTAGTAATTGTTTTTTCAATGTTTCATAAAGACCTGCATGACTATATGACAACATGTATTTCTTGACTTTGAAGAGGAAGTTCATTTTGGCTTGCCTCATCATGTTGCAAAAATAAAAAGGCTATTTTTTGCAGCAATTCTGGGCTCTCCAACTCATGCGCTTCCTCTTTATATATAACTTTCTGAAATGCCAGAAATAGGATATTATAGAAGGGCTTTCAAGGAAGTGATGAGACAGAGAAGTCCATTCTATTCATGAATACACATCATTTTAAAAAGGGAATAACCCCCCCTCCCCACTACGTGGATAAAATACTTCTCCCTTACACCCAGGAACTTTTAAAATATCTTAGAAGGAAATCAAGGATAGTAGAGTTCCATTTTTGACTAGTATTTATTTCATTATGGGCTCCATTGGGAAACTCATTGTAAAGTTTGTACCCAATGGCATCATTACTGCAATAATTAGGCATTCCTAGTCAATGAAAGATCATCTTTTTCATACCCCTTTGGTGCATAAATGATATAATAAATGTCAGTTACTTCAAATTTCAACCACTTATAAAAAAAGTTCTCAATGGGCAAAGAGACTAATTAATAGTGATATTGTCTACTTTGGGGGTGCTTACTCATTTGAGTTTTTATTTTATTTATTAAACAGATTTATATGACCAGCAAAATCACACATAGTGATTCTAGGTGGTGTACAACAATAAAACGTGACTTTAATTTAATGTAATCCCACCCGCAGTCCCTTCTTCCTCACAGCAGCAACAAACACAATCAAACAAGCCACTTGAACAGCTCCATATCAACCCAGAGTCCCCAAGACTATTTGCAGAACCATGTCTTTGGAGTCTTACTGAAAAGTAACAAGGTGGGGGCAAATCTTATTGCTGGGAGAGGAGCCACTACAGAGAAGGCCTTTTCTCTTAGCTCCACCAGATTTATAGATGAGACGTTCAACAGGCTCTGCCTTCCCACTCGGGTGATGGTAGAGCTAACTGGAGAGAAATGGTTCTTCAAATAATCTGGCCACAAGCCATATAGAGCTTTAAAAAGCTTTAAAGTTTTGGTTTGAACCAACTAAAGTTTCTGGATACTCTTTAAGGGCATCCCCATGTAGAGCATATTACAACAGTTCGAATAGAAATTGACTATGGCACGGGTGACTGTTACTCAAACAGGATATGAAATGGTTTTCTGTTAAGGATGCCATAGTTAAAATCCTCTGTCTGCAAAGCATTGTCAGAAATTGAATCATGATCACAAGCTTATTGTCAGCAAGGTATGGGGGTATTATATAGATTTTTCAAAACCGATTAAGAACCAAAAGCAAAATTCATTTAATAGCGAATTCAACAAGGTCGAGAACTTCCTTTTTCTAGAGGCAAGTCTAAAGGGCTAACCACCCCTTTTCTAGATGAAACTGACTCTAATATACAGCATCTCTTTGCTCATTGTTTACTCTTTTGAGATACTCCTATCCCATTCTTAGCCCCAGAGATTTCTTTTACAAGTCCTGCTCTTAGCAGAGATCAGATTGGACAGCCTTCATTACAAATCTAACATTCTTGTCCAAGTACAGAATAGTTTCAATGCACAGGGAGGAATTAGTTGTGGAGACAAATACAGGGTCAGTAGAGATTGATTTCCCCCTTTACTCCAATTGCGCTCATTGTACATGAGATATCATTAAAATTTCATAGAATGTTCTTGTTTGGATGCTTGCATTTTCAGGATTGGCTAACAATCTAATAATCTTTTCTCAATCAGGTGAAATATTCCCGAGTTGATACACATCCAAGCCTTTGCATCAAGGTAAATCAAGATCCAATCGCCATGTCTAAGTGAGAGGTTATGACCCTTTTTCTGGTTTATGGCCTCAATACAGATTTGATTAGATTTGACAGTAATGACCTTTTCTAGTGTGCAAGTCTCTTGTTTCTTTTGGTGGAGCTTGAAACTGATAGTTTTTGTAGATATGGTGGGAAACTTTATCCCACCAGGAGTTCAGTTGAGAGTCTCTTTTCGGAACCTGGCATTTGATTTGTGTGTCCATATGGTGTTGGGTAATTTCTCACTGAAATCGGGTGATATGTCTTTTTGAAGCAAATGTCAGAGGAATAATTTGTCTTAGCCGGGTAGTAGTAGTATAATAGTAGGGTAGAAAAGAATTTTACAGTTCCTTCCCATCCTTTGCCAGCCCATTTCATGCCAGCTAATGCCAATTGAACTGTACAAAAGCATATGACAAGTGTAAAGTGTACCATGTATATGTTGGCCTTAATTATAATCACCTTTCAGAGATAATTTGGAAGAAAGAAGCAGGACTAATAATGTAAACGCTTTTGTTGACCCAGATAGCTAATTGTACATAAAAAATTATGGTACAAAGAGGTATCCAACAATATGGTCTGGATCTCCTATTGTTGCAAACGGTGATTGGTTTAACACAGTTTATTGAATAAATCACAATTGGTTTACACAATGCACAAATCCATAAACCATGGTTTTTAAAGGGCAATGGCTAATTTATATCAAATTCATACTACTCAAATAATTTTGAATAGTTTTGGCATAGCATGATTGATAAATCCAGCTCATGTGTGTCAAAAAGCTATAGATAAATGAATTGACATGCAGTAGATCATAAATTAGAATATGATGCAAATTATAAATTATTGTTACAAATCCATTATTCCCACTATCCTTCATTAAAATATCAAGGAAGAGTTTCATAGTTTAATTCTATGGAACATTTGTTTAAAAGTTTATCTGATTGGTTTTAGTGGGCTTACTCTTTAGGATGCAGCTATAATTGCTCTATTATTTGTTTGAGCTTATTAACCCTAAAAGCAACATTGTCATTCTGCCTGATAGAAGAATTTCTACAGAGCTAGAGATTCAATCCATTCGATACGTTACTTCAGTTTATTGCAATAGAAAATTCAGGCTGGATAACACAAATTAAATGTTAATTTCTTTTAAACCCTTTTTAGTTTGCAACTGAGCACAACATCTGGGTTAAATGTCCATTCAGTCATGGACAATTTCAAGGTAAAATATTAATTGTAATGTAATTCTTTTCTTACATTCACAATGGATTAAATGATTAACAATAATCAAAGCATATAGAAATAGTTTGGTCAATACATACCATAACATGTAATTGATTTCATTATTATTATCATTTAAATGCAAAGAGTTTTAAGTAGTTTGAGAATGTATCTTTTGATCTGTTATATTTTTGTGATAGAATGTTGTCTGGATTCCCAGGAGGGTGGGAGTGCATTTCAGAGGAACAAGAGACAACACAGTTTAGTGTGGGAGAAAGAGAGTGAAGACAGCTCCTCCTAATAGTTCCCACAGTATATGTTTTATGTATTGCATTTGTTTATTGAATAGCCCGAAGGCCTTTTCAAACAAAACAGAAAAGAAAAAGGGAAAAAGGCAAAACAGTTACAGAAATAACAATCTAAAAATATATGATGTATGACATTAAAATTTTACAATATCAGATTTCAATAGCTAAGTTGCCAAGACTAGATAACCCAAATAAGATAGCTCCTCTCTAACTCAACTCATCTTTCTTTCAATCAATGAAATTCTTTTCGATATAACTGGCTCGTATTGCTGTCATCTTTTTAAGATAGCGAGTGATAGCCCTTACCATGGGAGGAGAGTCAGCCTTCAACAGAAATGCTAATTTATGCCTTATATTCCAGTGAGGAAATTTATTTATAATTGGGGACAGATATTGTTTTCTTACTTCCTCATACAGCCTACATTCGAATATTATATGCGCCGTGTCCTCCACGACGTTTACCCCACATATACATGTTCTTTTGTCATACGGGATTTTCCGGTAACGGCCGAATTTAACGTTCGTATCTAAAAGTTCGAATCTAAACTTAACAAATAACTGTCTCCCCACTGATGGCATTTCTAAATGTAAATACTTTTCCAGGGTGAAAGTTGTTTTAACTGCTGTCAGCAGTTTAAGGGAGTGATTAGTTGAAAGAGTTGCCATGTCCATTTGCCCATGTATATCTTTAATCCGTTGTTTAACTTGCTTCAGTGTGTCATACAGCGGGAACCTATGCCATATCGGTTCAATATTTCTGACAGCAGGGTTAGCCAGGAATACCTTTGAGGATTTAAAATCTGCTGTTCCTCTAGGCAGATTTTGGGGAGTCTGCTGGCTTCCATCTGAGTCATTTTTAGCCAGTAGGCTACCGCCCTAGTGATTGTATAGGTGTACAGTGAGAAATGTCCCAATTCAGCTCTGACGGCTGCAGTTGAAGTGGAATTGTTTACCCCAAGCATCCTCCTTAACAAATTATTTTGAGTTCTCTCCAATATGGGGGCCTCTGTATATGTTTTATGGTACAAATGTCTTTCTTGGCTTGGAACATGACAATTTTTCATCATATGTAGTGTGTATAGTGTTTATTTCTTTAGAATAAATCAAACATTTACTAAGCTATAGGGATGCTCTTTAAAGCACAACATTTGACTTGTATGTTATCATCTATTAATTATACTAGCTGCTGGTTTTCATCATGTTCCAATAAAATTTCCATACAGAATTTCCATCAGCAAAACTGCAGTGAAATATTAAGTGTATTTCAATCAATCTAGTAAAGTCCTAATTTCAATGAAAAGAAGTGTTTATGAATCCCTTGATCCTCTCTGTCTTTTTTTAGATAGGATGTCCTTATAAGGAAATCAGACAGGGCTCATCCATTGCCCACATAAGAAAGCAGAACAAGCAGTTAATTTAATTGATAGGTTTTCAATAGATTGTTTCTCATATAAGGAATACTGTAATACAAATGGCTTTTTATGATTAAAATTATATACACAGATCCATTGAAAGATAGGAATCACTTAATAGATACTTAAACCCCTACCTACTTATCTGCTAATTCTATATATTAAATAGTTGAAGGAGATATCCAGAACTGCAGGAGAGTTTCATCTGCAATTTAGGCAGATTTAGATTAATATTTTCCAGGAACTCCTTATTCCTTTCACATGTTCAGTATATTCAAATATGAGTATAAATTACTTATTAAGAATTGTGAGTTAACTTAATCTGGGGTGGCATTTTAAAGTGCACGAAAGCATGATATCCCTGCTACAATCTTTGTATCCAGCCAGGGCTAGTATTTTTTGGAAACATTGTTAAAAACTGGAGATTTCCCCTTTTTATTATGATTGTTTGTTTAGTATGCTCCAGAAAGAATGAACTTTGATATATATTTTTTTTCTAATAGCTTTCTTAGGATCACATGGCCATTTAACAGAAGTTAGGCATTTTACAGAATAGCAAAGTTGGAAGGCACCTTGAAGGTCTTCTAGTCTAACCCCCTACTGAAGCAGGAGCCCTATACCATTTCAAACAAATAGCTGTCCAATCTCTTCTTAAAAGTCTCTAGTGATGGAGCACCCATAACTTCTGAATGAAAGCTGTTCTCACTGGTTAATAGTTCTCACTGTTAGGAAGTTTCTCCTTAGTTCTAGGTTGCTTCTCTCCTTGATAAGTTTCCATCTGTTGTTTGTGGTCTTGCCTTCTGGTGCTTTGGAAAATAGTTTGACCTCCTCTTCTTTGTAGCAGCCCTTTAAATATTGGAACACAGCTACCATGTCTCCCCTAGTTCTTCTTTTCTCTAGACTAGCTATACCCAATTCCTGCAACCAAAAGTTTTGCCAACAGGTTTGAATTAAATTGAATTGATGAAAGCAGAAGATTTTGAAGGCAGATTTTAGAAGTAGAGATAAGACTCATGGAATGGAGGATGCCTTTGGAGCTCAGTTCAAAAATCCCTTCATGGAATATGATTCCACCATAACATTATAAAAATGTAAAAATATTATGAGTGTATGAAACATTTTTTTGAAAAGAATGTTTACTGTAGTGTTAGGAGAATGCATTTTACTATCATTTGTAAGCATCAGAATGGAATAAACATCCAGTGTGGTGTAGAGGTTGGTGGCTTAGACTAGGTCAAGGAGACCCAGGTTTAACTTGAAATTCAGTGGATGATCTGGTCCGATCACTCTTTCTAAGCTCAATCAATCATTATAATAATAAGGTTCATAATAAGGTGATCTATGTTAACTGAAGTATTATTAATCCAGTTAGCATTACATACCAGTTTGATGGGTTTCTTTCTGTTTTTAGCTTGGAAAATGCGACTTGCTATAATGGGACAACAAATAGAAGTTTCTTTCACATCACATTTTGAAGCAGAATTTTCAGTACTTGTATGTAACAGGACCAACTTGCATTCATGCAACTCTACTGGAAGTCCCAAAGCCCTTTCATTGGTTAGTGCAACTTTTTTTTTGTTTCAAAGGTTCTTAAGCAAATCCAGCATGAAGGAGATAGGCCTGCCAAATTCATTTCAGCTAAAAACACTAAGAAGTATGCAATCCATGAGAAATATCTATGTTAGAAAGAACTGTATATCTATATATACTTACCATGGTCACAATTATTGACACATATGGACATATGTTCTTAATGCTGCAATATATTTAAATCATAGAGAACAACTACATGCAGCTGGATGTAGCTATGATGGAATATAGTGAGGAAAAACTATGAAAAGCTATGGCAAATCTAGACAGCATTCTAAAAAGCAGAGACATCACCCTGCCAACAAAAGTGTGTATAGTCAAGGCTATGGTGTTCCCAGTTGCAATGTATGGCTGTGAAAGTTGGACCATAAGAAAGGCTGAGCACCAAAGAATTGAGGCCTTTGAACTATGGTGCTAGAGAAGACTCCTGCGAATCCCTTGGACTGCAAGGCGATCAAACCGGTCAGTCCTAGAGGAGATCAACCCTGACTGCTCTTTAGAAGGCCAGATCCTGAAGATGAAACTCAAATACTTTGGCCACCTAATGAGAAGGGAAGACTCACTTGAGAAGAGCCTAATGCTGGGAAAGATTGAGGGCAAAAGAAGAAGAGGACAACAGAGAATGAGGTGGCTGGATGAAGTCACTGAAACAGTAGGCATGAGTTTAAATGGACTCCAGAGGATGGTAGAGGACAGGAAGGCCTGGAGGAACATTGTCCATGGGGTTGCAATGGGTTGGACATGACTTCGCAACTAACAACAACAACAACAAAGTAAGGAAGTGGATTCCCAGGAGGAAGGGGATGTACTACATAAGTGTAAGAGGCAACACAACCCCTCTCTAATAGCTCACAGAATATATTGTGGTTGCAGATAGTAGAGTTGTCAGTCTGGCAAGATTGTGTGTCTTTATGTGTGAAACAATAAACACTCAGCTCAGAAGAATCATCACATGTCATGGTCTGGGACCCGTCAGTAGGCAAAGGATTTACTCTTTAGACATATATTTTTTAAAAATCCTGAAATGTTTTTTAAAGCTATGCTGGGAAATGATGATTTGAAGACAAAGTTCCCATACTGACTTTTACATGCCCCCTCCTTCCAATTTTTCTCAGTATTTTCACAGTCAGCAATTGCAGCTATCATAAACACTTACTTCTTCTTCACAGAGTTGAGAGGATTTTTTAAAAAACCACACCCCTATTTTTCTTTCAGTGCTTCCAGAGATTACTACACCTGGATATTCAGTATACAAAACAATATGCAATATTGTATAGTGTTTAAAATGAAATATTTATTAAAGGATTGGCTGCCAAACTCTTAAGTCTGAGACTGATTTGAATAAATTGGAAATCCCCTTGTAGCTTTTATACCAGAGACCCAGCAAAGATACAGTATTATTTTTAGGGGTGGGGATGGGATCAACATGATTGTATTCAATAGTCTCTTTTGGGCAGTATGTAGAGTATTTTCTCTCTGTGTCTCTCTGTCTCTCTCCCTCCCTCCCTCCCTTTCCTTATTTCACATTTTGGAAATCAATGTGTCTACTGACTGGCATCTATGTTCCCTATGATATCAAGAAATGGCAATTTCAGAAATTCCAAGATGATTTCCAGAGTTTGAGAAAATAAGACATATTCCCATGTATTCCCAAAATGTTAAAACAATTAACAAGCACATTCAGATGACTAGCATAGTAAGCCACTTGATGAACATGTCAGGAACAGTGAAAGCTGCATTAGTGTAAAGCTACTATGTTTGTGAAACCGCAGAATGAGTGACAGGCAACAGATCAAAAAGATTATGCGGCTTTATTTTCTTGAAGTTAACTTGGTTTTGACTTGTATTTTCCAGGATGGATTAAGTTTACCATCTGTCAACATTTCAGGGAAACCATGTGGCTCAAACGTCTGCATTAAGGTATATAACTTTTGGATCTGCATGCAATTAATAACTAAAAGTGTGTGTGTGTGTGTGCGTGTGTGTGTGTGTGTGCGTGTGTGTGTGTGTAACACATAAAAGATAAAAATCACAAAATCTCACCTTAAAATACAATGACATTAACAATCTGGGAAATGATTCAGCATTTTTAATTATGCAAAGCAAGTATCTCTGGCTGTCAGAGACAATATTTTCAAAGCTTTCTCAGAGGATGTTCTGGATTCAGTCCCTGCTTTGTTTGGAAGTGAATTTCTCAAGATGTAGAGAAATCAGAGCCCAAGTGGTGGCCAAACACATCAGCTGCCATTAAAGCTGGGCAGGATGGGAAAAGCCTTCGTACCCTGAGGAGCATGAACTGAGGGAAATCCCAGCATAAGTAGCAGCAAACCCAGCAGCAAACCAGTTTTTTGCATTTTTAATGGCCAACTGAGGACAAGAGCATGCACATAAAGCAGTAATAGTAAACACACCTCTATAAATCAACCAGCTAAATGCAAACATTAGGAGCAGTAATTTACTTTGCAGGCAGGAAATGGCACAAAGAGTTGGAAAATTCCCTTTCTTCTTCCTACTTTTAGGTTTTGGGTATATAATCTGCTGGCCAAAACATCCATATGATCAGTGTGTATTTTGCTGCCTCAGAGCATAGCTCATCCTGCCTAATCTAGCACCATTATCCTTGGGTGTGTGTATATCAGAGGTAGTATTCAGCAGGTTCTGACCAGTTCTGGAGAACCGGTAGCGGAAATTATGAGTAGTTCGGAGACCCAGTAAATACCACCTCTGACTGGCCCTGCCCCCATCTATTCTCTTCCAGAGGTGGTATTCAACAGGTACTGACCAGTTCTGGAGAACTGGTAGTGGAAATTTTGAGTAGGTCGGATAACCGGTAAATACCACCTCTGACTGGTCCCGCCCCCATCTATTCTCTGCCTCCTGAGTCCCAGCTGATCGGGAGGAAATGGGGATTTTACAGTAACCTTCCCCTGGAGTGGGGTGGGAATGGAGATTTTACAGTATCCTTCCCCTGCCATGCCCACCAAGCCATGCCATGCCCACCAAGCCATGCCCACAGAACCGGTAGTAAAAAAATTTGAATCCCACCACTGGTGTAGATAGGGATCCTGAAAGTGGAGTTCTAAGTGGAGTCAATGCCTTTAATTTGCTAAATTTCTAAGATTTCTAAGTTTGCTAAGTTTTCTGTCATACTTCTGTTCAACTAGTAGCACCAACAATTACTTTCAAGTAATCTTCTGATATGGTATTTTGCTTCAAAGTATTTTGTTTATAAGTTCAGATTTATTATTTCTCTGCAGCTATCATTGTCACAAGTAAAAAAAAAAAAGCAGAGAGGTATTTCTGAGTGCAGTGAACTTGAGGGAGCACTTTTCTCTCTAAAGAATTTTTGCAGCTTTCATATGGTTGATTATCTTTTTTTTTTTAAAAAAAAACAATGATAAGCTTCTTGTTTGAACAGAAGTTCTCCACAAAGTTCCTCATCATTTGCCAACATAAGGCTTCATGAAAACTTTGCTGCCAGCTAATGTGATCACCTGGATTGTTGCAGTGCAGAAATGGAGTAGCCTTTGAGCCAGTCACTCTTTCTTAGCCCTTGGAAGGGGGCAAGGGCAAGATACTCTTGAAAATGCTGCCAACAAAACTTCAGGGACAGTCACCGGCAGTTAGGAATGACATGAAGACCCAAATACACTGTACATACCAATGAGAAGATATTTTTTTTCCCATGCAGTCTCTGAACTTCTTTCAAAGTAGGTAAATCCTACGTTGAGAACAGCATTATCAACCATGTATTTTGAAAATGTGTGGGCTTCATCTCCAAGAATTGGGGATTGGCTGGGGAAATCTGAGAATTAAAATCCCCATATCTTTAAGCTGTCAAGGTTGAGAAATAGTATTCTAGAAGTTGTGCTGGCCAACCTCAACCCATTTGAAATCATTCCTATGATAACTCTCCAAGAGTAGTTACCTATTCATGCTGTTCTTTTTAATAAAGGAGAATATTTGTAAATCAGGGTTGAAATGAGGGGTCCTTGGTGCTCTCTGGGCTTGGTTGTTTTGTTGCAGACGTTTCATTACCCAAACTAAAAAACTTTTTAAAAAAAATGTGCCCCCATTTTGCACTTCACTTATATGCTAAAAAAATCCCAAGAAGATATATACTTGGATTTTATTGTATGTTGTCTCTCATGATTATTCAGGAAAATGTTTTCTTTTCTTTTCTGAACAAGGGATGGAGGACAGATGTGGACTATTCTGTTTCTTCATACGTCTGTGATTTACCCTGCAGTAAGTTTCAATAGAAAAAAGGCTACTGTATATGAGATAAGGCAAAACATCTACGGGCTCCTAACAGAAGTGATTTGGGAAGCTAGCACACTACTAAGTGCTTCCCAACTTTGGCCATTTTAAGATGCATGGACATCTACTCTCAGAATTCTCCAGCCCCAGCCCCAGCCCCATGGCTGGTTGAAGAATTCTAGGAGTTAAAGTCCACACATCTTAAAGTGACCAAATCTGGAGAGTTAAAGTTCTCAACCTGTTGTGGTGGGCAGTTGATGTATTTTGGCCTTTGCCTCTTGAACATGAAGGGTTGTTCTGAGGACCCCACGAAGATGTCTCAATGAAGTGAAAACCTTTAATAAATACATATGGACTATTGAGATTGCCATCATGGTGGTAACTGCAAGAAGATAATATGCAGCTACCAAGATTACAGTCATGATGCCCATGTGAGGACAATGTAAGAGAAGATATTGATTTAATAAATAAAACCCCCAGACTTATAGATAAAATCTGACTATGAATGTGATGGTAGGCTAAAGATGAGAACCAGATTGGTGTAGTGGATAAGGCATCAGACTAGGATACCCTGAGTTCTAGTCCCACTTTAGGCATAAAGCCAAATGTGTGACTTTGAGCAGGTCACTCTCTCAGCCCTCAGGAGGAAGCAATGGCAAGTTCTGAAATCTTGCCAGGAAAAATACAGGGTAGTCAAGGCAGTCATCATCAGTCAATGCTGACTCAGAGGTACAAAAAAAGAAAAGAAAGGCTAAGGATTCTCAAGATGATTATCTACGAGATTCAGAGATGTACAGTGTCTGCCTTGAAAATAGACTGTGGTGCACTACAGTATATAGTATAGTCAAACATGAGGTCAGGAAATGACCACAGGAAATATTGTATGGCATTTTTATATTATGTCATAAAATGTCTAATTTTATGTTATAAAATGTTTTATAAAGTTTGCCAAATTTCAGTTCCATGGGAGTCAAGGCTCATTTATTTTAGATGCGCTCTGTAAGTTAGTCCATTTGAGATACCCTAGTTCAAAAATTCTTGCCCTATGATGCACCATTTTGCGCAGTTAAAGGTTGTAGACAAATAGAAGAATTGTAATAGTATGTAGATGAAGCACAGTACTTATTGATTTCTCATTGTTCAATGAATTGTACTGAGGGCAAAAGATACAACAGTATTTTGGGAGCATGGAGGAGCTTTGATAGCTCTGTTTGGCCCAGGAATCATATTCTTATTCTCTGTCCATTCTTATTCTAATAGATTAGGAAACAAAGATTCTTTTGTGTATTTCTAAAGAAAAAGGAATTAAAGCAAACAGATGATAAGAAACACCAAAATATAGAATTCCTTGTGTGTATCACATGTATTTCACCCTTTCTCCCATTCCCAACAATTGAAAATTGGGGCATTTCATTACTTGAATTTCCAGCAAACTATCCACTGGGAGCCTTTCTATATTAGTGGGTTTATTTGCTGATGACAGCAACACTCCTGTGATATTTGGAGTATGTCGACATCCATTTTAACTTCCATTGGATCTTCCACTTTGCTGTCTGAGCATAGTGGTTAATGGTAAATGGCCATGAATCCCTGTTAATTCATTTACATGGTGCTTTTGTTATGAAGTTTGTCGGTCTGTTTTTTCTTCTCAATGATATGGCTTTGACTAGAAGAACTATCAAAATTTAATAAAAGAAAATAATAAGGGCCTACTTATTCTTAGATGAACATCTAAGATACTATTTTGTTTAATTCTAGACTCTTCTACTGGGACTCAAGAATATTATGAATATTCCTTAAGCATCCTCTCTCTCATAGCATTTCTTGCCATATTTCTAATCATGTTGGCTCTCCTTGGACACAAACTTTTGTCAGGTACTGATTTATGCAGCGGAAAAGTCAATAGATGGTTACAATAATGGTTGTAACAATAGAACATTCATTTTAACTGATAGATTTTAATTAATCAACACTGGCTTAGAAGTTTATTAGAAGTACTAACACGTAATCAGTCAATGGCTTGTTAGCTTTGTATTTTCACAATAATATTCAAAGAAAATTTGCATAGGGAAAATGTACAAGTGCTTTTTTTTAAAAAAAATATAGCTTTTACAATTCCATCATGTAAATTTTCCTTCAAATATTATACTGAATGCTCAGGGCATTTTTCTTTTACCCATTTGCAGAAGCTTATTACAATTGGAATTATTCCCTTTTCAAAGCACCCTTTGTTCTTATTGATTTGCATATATTATGATTTCTGTGTGAAAACTATTTTTATATGAAATTTAATTGAGATCCAGTGACAGTAATAGTAAAATATTGCCTACAAAGAGGAAATAGTAGGCAAGAATTGTGGGTACCAATTCTTCCAGTAATAAATTCATAATTAAATTATTTTAATTTAATTAACTTTTAATGTTGAATTTTAACTTTCTTTGCCTCATATAAATTTTATCTATAGTTTATGTTTTAATATTTTACTTCTACGCCTTCTGGAGTCCCTTTGTGGTGAAAATGAGCAGTTTCTATATTTTTATAAATAAAGAAACAACCAGAGACAATGTCTAAAGCAGCGGTGTCAAACCGGCGGCCTGCGGGCTGGATGCATCATGCACAGACCACGCCCACTCCAGCTCAGTAAAGGGAGACAATGTCATGATACATCACGAGTTTGACACCCGTGGTCTAAAGCATCCTTTATCAAGCATCGTTTTGAGTGTGAGCTTTGCACTCAAATAGTTTATGTCCAGCCAATGCTATCAATGCAAAAGAAATAAATAAGTACAGCTCCCACCCCCCTTTTTTTCAAATCCTTTTAGAAAATCTGTTCTAGAAGTGAGGTAGCTTTCCCATTAACAGAACACCCCTCAGGGCAGGATCCCTCCCCCAGAAAATATCCATCCCAAAATATCAATTTTGGATCCATCCCAAAATATCCATTTCTTATAAATGGATATGGTTGCTTTCCATTGCCATGTTTAGCGTCCTGGTATGCTACTTACACTCTTTATTTCCTTTTTCCAGGAGGTACTGCATTCCCAAGCCAAACGTTTTCTATGAATACTTTTGGGTATTATATGAGACCCAGAGATAAGAATCGCTAAGGCATTTTTAGATATGCAGTTCATGTCGTAGTTGGCACTGCGTTTAAAAAAATGTGACGACTACCCACAAAATAAGTGAACTTTAAAAAAAAAATTAAAAGCAAGTTGTCTGGGGTGTGCCAAGTATCCAAAATGTCTATAAGAAATTCTATACGTACTTATCGACTTTTGGATTACAAGTTGAGTCCACCACATGACTGCAATTACCTCTAAATCTCTTTCAAGAGAAGGATTGATCTTTTCTTGCTTCAGCAATAAAAGTTAATATTTCTATGAAATCTCCAGTTTTGTTTACATAATAGATTTGGATTTTATACTTGACACTTACAGAAGACCAATATTCTGTAAATCAATCTTCCCCAGTTTGGTACTTTCCAACTAGTTTGAACTTCCCCTAATCATGCCCTACTGATGTTGCCACATTCATTAGAAAATATAAAGTTGGCTCTATAATTCCAATGATAAAGATTAATAGTATTTTACTTCCCCTTCACACTTGAATGCATCCATAGATATGTTAATATGCCCTGCTGTAATTCCATTGTCTGATATTTCTCCTAAAAAGCTAGATTTTTGTGTGTGGCTTTCCTGTACATGCTTTCCATTTCTGAGTAAGAGGTGTACAAACAAAATCAATGTGTGATTTCTTCAGGACACAATAAGTTTTGTGATACAACTCTCACATTGTCTAAGTAAGACTGTTTATTCAAAATATCCAACTGTAAAAAGCCTTCCAATTATAGTACCTGGTGAATTTCTATGTCTGATGGTTATTTGGAAAAATAAAAGTCATAATATGAATTTATCAGCTGATTCACACATACATGTCATATTGTCATGCTTCCCATAAGTTACTTAGTGATTGATTGATCATGTAACCTGTATTGCAATGTTCATACTGTTTTTTAAAAAAATGTTTTTGAAACTACTGTATGAGCAGTAGTATATAACCTTGTTTATATAATTTGATCTTGATACTGATATTACAGTAATTGTATAGTCAAAATGGAATAATGACATCCCTTTAATTTTGTTATATAAAGGATGCTTTTACACAATACTATAGTCCAAATAAAATGTATTTGGGAACTCTAGTATGGTGTCTCAATGAGTGCAGAGAACTCAATGAGGGTACAGAGATCTCCTTTGGTTGTGATCAATCTCTCAGCCCAGCTGATTTTTTTATACTGATTTTCTTAATTAAAAATTGTGGAACTCCAATGCTGCAATGCACACAAGCAGCCTTTTGCTGCATTTGGAGTTCCATGGAATTTCCCAGGTGTGCCTCAAATAGATAACATAAGGTTTCTTTGAAAATAAAAATGATGAACACCTGCAAATGAGGTGTGTCCATCTACTCAGAAAAAGGACAATGGCAGGCAGTAGTAGCAGCAGAGAGCTTTCTGTGGAATGGCCAGCTAGAGTGGAGTAGGAGGTAACCTCCATGCTTTGGGAACGGTATGGTTTCCAACAGTCATTTTAGAATTTTAACACTCATAACATGTTCTCATTTAATATGTTCAACATGTTTCAGATGGTCCACCAGTTTCCTAATGGTGAGAGATCGTAGTTCTAACTTAATCCACTGCCATCACCATACATGCTCAGAGAAGCTTTCCATAGTTGAATGGTTGGTGGCCATGAGAATCAAGGACAACATGAATTCATTAGGGTGCTGAGATTAAGGGAAAAACTCATCTACTTGCCACCACACAGCCATAAAACTCATTGGAATAGAGCCATATTGTATACACTGCCAAGAATTCACAGAGGAAAGACTATCATAGTGTCATAAAGAGCCTCATCAGTGAAGAACAGTATTAACCGATAACATTTTTTCTCAGTTAATTCTAGGAAGACTCATGAAGAGAAAAGTGTATTACACATCATAACACACAGGTAAGCATGTGTTTTTGTATAGTTCTTTGACATTTTGAAGAATCTTTGCTCTAAAATGCAAGTAACTATTTTACAGTCAGTCTGACCTGAATTCTTAAAATTGGGGATGAATTTTAGTTTTTTTTTTAAAAATATCAATAAAAATAAAAGGTACTGAATTATAGCTAATATATGAATATAACTAAAAAATGACATTCCATAGCTATGAGGCATGGAAAGGTCTAATATTGATAGAAGAAATGTTTTGTTAGAATTACACTAAAATTACAATTATCCCTATGTGAAATAATTTAAAGCTTCTATTTATTTTTAGGTAACATGGTTCCTGAGAAAGATATGAAGTATATACCTCACACTTCTGCCTTGGTAAAATATCATGTAAAGAAACTGTGTACTTGGGGCCATTTAAATTGGTTTAGGATATAAATAATTGATAATTTAAATAAATTAACTTTCACATTTATTATTTAAATTCAGAAAGCCTAGATTAATTTTAGTGATGTTTGGGAATAAGATGTAAATCCTCTCACTCTCCGAATTGATTGTTAAATCATCATTTATTACTCTAGATCAGGGGTGTCAAACTTGTGTCATTATTGCAACATCACATGATGTATCACGACTTTCCCCCCGTTCATTAAACTGGGCATGTGCATGGCCAGCATATGATGCATCCAGCCCATGGGCTGCGAGTTTGACACCTCTGCTCTAGACAATTGCTTGAACCTTTTACCTAGAAATTTCAACTTGAATTCAGTCTCCTGGTTTCAAGCCTGATGCCTTAAACCATTAGACCAAACTAGCTGTCTAGATTCAAAGATTTAGATCATGACCCAGGGGTGAAATGCTCCTGGTTCAGACCGGATCGCTCGATCCGGTAGCGATGGTGGCAGGTGGTTTGGAGAACTGGTAGCAAAAATCCCTGCCCCCCCTCCCCCATGCCCAGCTGAGCCTCACGATCATCAGAGGCTTTTTTTTTTACTTTTAAAAGCATTTTTTCTACAACCTCTTCGGCTGAAAAAATGCTTTTAAAAGTAAAAAAAAGAGCCTCTGATGATCGTGCAGCTAAGCTGGGAAGCTGCATTTTTTCTACAATCTCTTCTGCCAAAGAGATTGTAGAGAAAAAAAATGCTTTTAAAAGTAAAAAAAAAAAGTTGGCCACGCCCACCTAGTCACATTAACCCCCCCCCACCAAGCCACGCTCACAGAACCGGTAGTAACAAATTTTACATTTCACCACTGTCATGACCCTTAATCTTCACATGACTTTCATGCATAATTGGTTGCCTACAATAATTTCAGCAAACTTTTGTTTTTTTTACAAAAATCTAAGTAGTCACTAGGAGCCAAAAATGACTCGATGACACAGAATTAAGTTTTGCATTTACACTTATCTGCATAACCTAAAATTTGCTTCTGTTAGCAGATCTCAGCACACAAAAATAATCACTGAGTCCAGAATGCTTAATAGTTTATACAATCTGACCATGTATTTCAGAGTATTTCCATATCAGAGATTCATCATGTTTTATCATGTCATCCAGCCATCCCTGTAGTGCTGTTTCACTAATAGAGATGGGTTTTATGTGACCGCAGTGATGGCTGGTGCTATAAGGTGCTATAAATTACTTTGTCTTGAAATATTTTCATCTGTATTTAATTGGTTTGAAATGGCAAGCAGCTGGAGAGCTCTTAAAGCAGCATAAAATATATTATAGAGAGGTCCAATTTGTCCAGGTAAAAGGAATTAAAATCATCCTAGTTATGTATGTTTAGCATTAACTACAATTATGTACATTATTACTCATCATTCTCAGTTTCCCATTAAGAGAATTGGTCTTTCCATGGTTTCATCTGATATAATTCACTATCTTGTTTGCCAATTTAGTAACATTTTATATACTAGTAACTGCAGGGAGAATGCATTTAGGCCTTCCCTATTTCTTTTTGTATGCTTTGTTTTCATATAAATTGAATGGGGAGATAGAGCTGACATATTTTGATAGAGGGTGTTTCCCATTTGGCAAATTCATAGAAATAGTCCTTTTTATCAATACTCTCAGGACCAGTAGCTTCTACTCCTTTTGTGATAGAATATATTCAAACTGTTTTCTATTTATATATTTTTGCCTACATATTCCAGTGAAAAACGATACATTTCCTGCCTTGTAAGCAAAGAATTATTACCTATTTCCTAATGATATAAATTACAGCTACTCCAGCCTGCCAATATTTGCAGAACAAGCTCTTTATAGGAATATATGACCCAGTAAAAACACACTGGCAGCCTTAGTGACTGATAGAAGTGGAAATGCATAATTGCACTTTTCAAATTGCAGATATTTCAAGAGTCTTGTGTCTCATTTTCTTTTTTCCTCAGGATGAAATAGCACCATTTGTTTTATGTATGAAGAAAAGCAGTCAATTTAGCAGAATGTTGTCACTTCCTGCATCTTAACAAATAATTGAAAGATTTCTCTACGGTAAACAGTTACATGTGTAAATAATCCTTGTGTGTGCAGAGGTCTTCCTTGACTTCAGTAATGTAGGAATAAATTTTTGTGAGGCAAATTCCTTACCCTGTGCCCTATTGTCTCCCTTCCTGAAGTAATTTGATAACAAAACATCTTTCTGTAGACAATTTGACTTTCTCCTAAATCAATGATGGTGCCTGCCCTTTATATTTGTGGAATATGCCCTGTAATGTAAAAAAATCACTGATCTCTATGGTTCTTTCATGTTTTATATACTTTTCCCTTTGAGGATCATTCCATTCAGAATATTACTTCCTATCAAGATAAATAAATATCTCAGAAAAATATGTAAGGAAAAATTATGTATATATATTTTAAATTAATAGTCTTGTTTATAATATTTTCCAGTTGTTTGTTTTAAAAAATAAGTTTTTTAAAAGTACTGCTATGGATAGAAACCTAGCACTTAGACATGAACTGGATTTATATAACTGGCAGTGACACAATGTTTTCAGTGTTTAAAGTTCTGGGCATACTTTAGACAGAATTGAGTTCTATTGAATTCTGTGGGACATGTTTCTGATTGTAGCTGTTATGTACAGGTTCTGAAAGAGTTTGTTACTGATTAGTGGGCTGCTCCTATGAACTGTCCATCATCTGCTTCCTAGGATCTAAACTAGCTTTGTCAGACCATTTCAATGTTCAGTGGCATTACGGTAGCATCTTTTGAGACTAACAAATATTCTTGACAAACATTAACGTCTGTGACAACAGCTCACTTAATCAGATTACCTGAAGTTTATGCCTCTTAACGTTTTGTTAGTAGGAAAAGGTGCTACCAAACTCCCAATTTTTGACTACCATAGAGCAATGTTTCTCAACCTTTGATGCATGGATTTCAACCCCCAAAATTCCCCAATAACAATGCAGGCTGGGGAATTCTGGGAGTTGAAGTTCATGTACATCTTAAAGTTGCTGACATTGAGAAACACTGCCATAGATTAACATGGATCTTCTCTTACAAGATCCACAAGAATGCTCCAATTCCTATGTGTCCTCTTTTTCCTCCAGCAGTCCTCTTAAAATCTTTTCACCCTAGTCTCCATCAAAATCTGAACTAGGGGAGGACAGTGGCTTATTGAGTACCTTAAAAAGGTGGAGTTTGGTTATATGGTACCATCTCCAGCTGAGCTACTGTGGCCTAAACTAAGCTTATGAATGGGCTATGTGACCTATTTATATGTGGTTTTTCTTTACATCCAAATTAAACCTTGGACTAGGATTTGACTTTTAGGATTTTAAATTATTGCAGTAATATGCAAAAATGTGTTTATCTTTCTATTCAAACTGTATTATTGGTATTGGCCACAAGGAGATATTTGGACCATGTTCAAATAACTTTGTAAAGTATTTAATATTTAACAGAAATCCAAAGGACGTGTGGAAACATTATTTTATGTTCCCAAATGGGTAGCTGTATAAGTGTTTTGCAGCAAAAGAGACAGCAAGAACATGTGTTCTTTCGTGTCAATGTTTTATATATTACTGTCAATATTTATACTTGCAAAGGAAAATAATAAAATACTCTGAACTCTACAAATGTCAAAAGTTTGTCATTTATTTCTCCTACTGTCATCTATATTCTTGCTATACAGACTTCATTACTCAGGAAAAAAGAGTAAAGTTAACAGGCATGAAAATTATGCTGTCTAGACTCTAAACCATGTGGGATTACTTGATTTACACAGACAATGGTTTCTACAGTCCCCCATCTTCCCAAATGGGAGAAATAGTGAAGACTATAAAAAGTCTGGAGGTAGAGACGCTTTTTCCATCTGTTGATCATTTTGTCTTTGGTTTTCAGAAGGCACATTTCATAGAAGTGAAAATACAACCCATATTGAAACAGGGGAAAGTCTCTTCTGAGACATTTGCCACCCCCCGCATTCTTTCTGTGAAGTCAGCTGCTGCTTTTTTGACCATTGTCTAATTTACTGGGGTATAATATGTTGCAATATTTTCAGGATCAGACTCAATAAAGATAATAGAAGTTAAAGCTTTAAATATATTTCTTTTTAATTATGATAGGCATTCTATATTCACTGAATATTCGAGGTAGAAGCGACGAGAATGGTGAGGGTGGCTCCTTATATATACAAGGGGTGGAGCTAGGAATGGGAGTGGTAAGTTATGAATACATTAAAGTCCAAAGAATAAGTTAACCTCTGATGTTCCATATATACATTATTTACACATTGGAGAATAAGGCATTTACATCTGACATAATAATAGTTTCATAACAGTTTCAGACTTGGTTGCTCCTTTGCCACTTTCAGGAAAAAAAATTAGAGACATATGAACCAAATATTGAACATTTCCTCAGTACACGCGGTGCTTCTAGTTTCATTCTAATTAGGTTACTAATTTGTATGGCTTTTATTCATAATTGCATGAATAAACCTAAGATTTTGGTCTCCTCAAAAATATTTAACCCATGCGCAGCCAGTCCCTGCCATTTCCTCTGGTTTCCTTCACACACCCCAAAATAATTTATCTATTTTTATTTTATTGAATTTATATACCGCCCTACTCCCGAAAGACTCAGGGCGGTGAACAGCCATAGAATAAAATATATAAATACAAAATTTAAAATAAAATAAAACGAATTAAATAATTTGGCTGAACAAATTTAAAACCCCAATAATTTAAAAACAAATTTAAAATTTCCATTTAAAAAGGGGAAAGACTTAGGTCTTTCCTAAGACCTCCCCGAAAATAAAGCCAAGCGCTTATTTTGGGGTTCAAAAAAATATAAGCCAGGGTCTTATTTTTGGGGAAACACAGTATGTATGTTAAAAAGTTGAAAAACAAGATTTGTTTGTTTTGAGAATTTGTAACAAAACTAAATGGCTATAATAACTTTTCAATTTTCTGATGGAATTGAAAAAGGTGCAATAGTCCATCTTCCTTTGAAATGTCCTGGTCACCTTTTGTTTAGTACTGATCAACATGAAAGAAACAGGTTTCTTTTTTCCTGGAGGAAGTGACTGCTATGTTCATGTGCCCCTGAAATCTTGTGACATGGAAAACTAATTTCATAATCACTTAACACATGGCCTCCTTCATGAACTGCTCTTTCACAATTTCGACCTTTACAAAAGTCTGTTCCTAAGAAATGTGATTTCATGCCTGTCCTAAGACATGTTTCATACAACTAGGAAACAGACGTGTAATTTTCAAGCATGGGTTTTGGAAACAAATCCACTGTTGAATGTACAACAATAACAACTTCCTTCAGATTTCTTCCCAGAACTCAACTGTTACAAAATCCAAGACAACAAAAAATGGATCACATGAAACAGAATCAATGCAATTTAACGGAAACACTTTTCTGTTATGATCTACCAAAGACCTAAAGTTGGTATAAAGGCTCACCTACTCAGTCACGCTTCAGCTGTAGAAATGAAATCCCTTATTTAGTTACACAACATAGTCATGCTGAGATCTTCCAGTTTTTTTTTTTTTTTTAAGATCTGGTAGTGATTTATGGAATTGAGAGGCAGAGGAGAAAATAAGAGCTGTTTGGGGAAATCTCATTGTCACATATTTATACTACAGTCTGAGGCTGATTCCTTATGATATTACTATCTGCTGTTCATTTGCTAAGGTGTTATCCCATTTTGAGTTGATATCTCCAACTAAGGAATGAAAGGACCCAGAAGGAAAAGAAACATCTTCACGGTTTATTACATTCTTTCTGGAGATGGTATAGAATAAAAAGCACATATATAGTGGGTTTATTTTTGGGAAACCAATGCTTCTTTTGGCTTTTGGCTTCATGCACAGCTCCTGTTTAAATTATTTTCACCAGGTGTGTCTTGGTGTATGTGTTTAAGAATACAAAGGCATTTGATAAGCTTATAATGGATGGCATTTTACAAAAATTAAGAGATAGGATATCTCATCAACTATCGCATGGCATTTATTCTGTGTTATTCACTTATGGGAGATACGCAACACCTAGATTAGTGTACCACTGAATAATTATTTCCTTAATTTATGCAAATCTCTGTTAGGTTTGGAATGGATCACTGTGCTACCTTTCTATTAATTGCATGATCTAGTTTATTCCTGAGAGCCAAAGATCAGGGGACATAGCATTTCTTTAATTCAAATTTAAACATTTAACCACAAAGTAGATTATATCGATGCTAGTAGATAACTATATACCTGGCAACAATCCAGCCTAAACTAACTAGTTCAGAAGTAATATCAGGAACCAAATACGTTGACAAGAGCTAACACCAGAAACTCTATCTCTCTGAGGATTTAATCTGAGCATGTTTTGACCCATCCATATTATTATAGGCTATAGACACCAAATTAAGCTTTTGTCAGCATTCTTGATTCAGCCTTGGGGGAGGCAATGTACAACTAGATTGTACAACTAGAGGGTATCATCAACGTACAACAATTAGGGATCCTTGGTGATCTCTGAGCTTGCTTGTTTTCAATAAGCACCAAGGACCCCTCATTTCAACCCTGAGCTACAAATATTCTCCTTTATTGATATACAATCATTAGATGGTAAGCTTTACCAGTGGCAGGCCATATTATAGTTAGGTCTCATCTGCCCAAACATGCAAGATGGAAGAAATAGGGCACATTCAAGAATCGGCAAAGGAGAATAATGGATAATGAAGCATCATATTCCTTGTGAAATAGATGCATAGTAGGGCTCAGAAAACTCTTTTTCAGTAATGATTTAGATTTTTCTGTATTTATGGTATATCATTGCCTTTGCCAGGGATAGAAGTAATACAAGCCACTGACTATATCCTATTTTCACATATTATATCGTTGACTAGTTCAATGCTATTCCCCTGCACAATCATAAAAAATACACCCTGTATTATCAGATCTTTTCGCTACCATTCTGTAACCAACATGTTAGATCATGTTGGTTTTACCATCTTTTATCTAAAAAAATAAAAATAAAAATACCAATCTTACTGCTATGCTTCCTGAAATAAACAAAACAGGAAAACTCTTTAAGTCTAGTCATTTACAAAGAACAATGTTCAGTTTTGTGTTTTGTTATTCGAAGAGAATGAAATATTCTGAAAGATACTGACTTCTGTTTGATCATGTGAGCAAAAAATAATCTCAAGATCTAAGACAACCAGATATGAGAAATATTTAATATCCTTTAAGAAGGAATAGTGTAACAGCAAACAAAGAATGTATCATCACACTAGCCTTTATTTAAATATGTTAAATCGGATGAAATTGTCATAATGGTGAAATGTTAGCACTCGTTTTATGCTATTTTGTTATTCAACCCAAGTCAACAAATATAACAGTCTCTACCCTTGATAATCCCTCTGTGTTCCCTTCATTCAAATTTAATTCTTAGGAAAAACGTTGTGCATGAACAATTGGCACACTAGCGGTCAAGGAATTTCATCTTCACAGTAGGTTTGCGTCATATATCTGGTTGCGTGCTACTGAAGTATTGATGAAATATGCCAACAGCTATTTTTCTTGCTATTTTAAATCATTTTTGTTTAATTCAGCGCCCTCCTGGTGTGTTAAGACTGTAATATCCAGAATTTCCAACCAGCACACCCAAATATATTGCTTGGGAATTTTGGCCATTGTAGCTCGAAATACCTCTGGAACACATTAGATAACCTACCTCTGTGTGATGTTCCTGGGTAATTCCAAGATGACCTAAGTCATATTTCATTCTTCATTGCTGATGAGGAATCTACAATAAAGCAATCAGAGAAGCAATTTTCTGCATTAGATCATCACAAGTCATTGACATTCACACATGGAGAATTGATATACATGTATATTTACACATTTGTATTATGACAAGAGTTTATCTATTTATTATTTATCTCCATAAAAATGCTACCATTGGCACAATGCATTTGTATTTACAAAAAATTTTGCAGGGACGGGTGGAAAATGGTTTTCATTCCATCACCTAGAAAGTGAAACACTTCAGCTTATACTCTCACAGATATAGTGAGTTAAAAACATGGTCTGCCAAGTGCCTGGTTAATTAAATGCAGATTCCTTTCTGCAATTGTTCTTTAATTGCAATTCTGCAATTATATATGCTTTCATAGGAAATCTAGGGAGACCTAGGACTACACTATGTAGAACTCAGAGGCGTGATAACTTCAAATTATGTTTTTAAAGGAGGTTGCTAGATTAATTTTGTTATCAGCCTGCCAGATAACTACCATAGGTATCTGCCTACCAAGTTATTCAAATTACTATGGAGGGTGGAGGTGGGCTTTGAATACTGTTAAACTCTATGTAACAAGACAAATAAAAACACTTAGGGTATGACTTTTAAAGTTTATGTTAATAAATCCAGTAAATCCAGTACCAAGAAGGAGGAAGTCAGAAATCAAATACGTATCACTAATATTTTTAGCATTTTTGCTCCAGAATCTATTGGAGTTGGGCAGCATGCAAAATGAAATAAATAAAAACAAATAAATATCAGTTTGTGTCTCATGCAGACAAAACATCTTTACCACTCAGTATGCTAACTTTATTTATAGCAATGTGGAAAGCTATCCCCCCTTCCTAGAAGAATGAAATACTTTGAGAAATATTTAAAAAAAAAAAAAAGGCAGGATAAAATATTTCCCCTAAAAGAGAAATAAAAATCTTTTTTTATTTTTTATATTATTTTATACACAAACAAACATTTAATACATCCGTCATCCCTCCCGTGTGACATCTCAGCATTTTCTCTGTAACTTCATCTTCTATTTGTTGTTTCTTCTGTCTTCATTTTCACCAAATCTATTGTAACATTTCTCCAAAAGTACAATATTCTAATTATACCATTTTTTACATAGCTATTAATTTACTCATCTGTATCTCTTTTCTAACCAATGGTAAAATTGAT